GTGTGTGCATAGCATAGCAGAAAACACAGTGGCTGACCACACCCCTTGCCATGCTCTCCTGAAGGCTGTTTTTACATTCCTTCCCGTTATTGCCGCTTTTCCCTCTTTCCTATCTTCTTTGACAGTTGTTTGCCCTCTAAATTTCCAGGTTCTCTCAGAACTGGAATGTAAAGGCAATACTACTGTCTCTGAAGAGGGGTGAGGCAAGGAGACCTGGGTAAGTCTAAGGTCTCATGAGTGTCAGTCAGAAGCTTGTATGCTGGTCCTGGCCTTGCCTCAACCTTTCTTGAAGTGCTTAGGTCAGGACTGTCTGTCCTGAGTGGATGACCAAAGCCTCTGGAAGTAACCTCAATGCATTTGGCAAGTGGCAGTCCCTCCTCTAAGACATACTTGTATAGTAGGGATCTCTTTTTTCTTCATTTAGCCATCAACACGTTTTGTGCAGCCAGGGTCACGGTAAGGAACAGACACCATGCTTCTGTCAGGATCATTCTGAGAGGTAGGGCACAGCATCTGATGGGCAACTCGGTGTGGTAAGTGTTCCAGTAGGACCAGGGGAGATGTTGGGGCAGAATTCCCTGAGGATGAGTGTGGGTTGCTAGAGCTGAGTGTAATAGAGCACATAGGTGTACTTACATAATATAGGCAAACCACTCATACATATAACATAGAAATACATAAATAAAAATAAAGGCACTCATTCCATCATGGAGGCCCATCCTTATGACCTAGCGACCTCCTAAGGACACTATCGCCTAGCTTGGTCACAATGGAGGTTAGGGTTTCAACACACGAATAGGTGTATATAGCCTAGTGGCAGGATTTTCACGTGTGGAGTGAGGCAGGGTCTTTTAGGCTGAAGGGGAGCCCGGGCAAAGGCAAGGAAACACAACCAGCACCCCCAATGAGGCGAGAAGAAGCAACTCCACACAATAGAAATATGGGAGAAAGCTGTCAGGATTGTGGGAGAGAAGGCTGGAGGAACCTGTCTGCCATAAATTGCCCAGCAAGCCCATTAAGATGTGGATTCCAAGGTCTTCTTCTTTCCCCAAGGAATCAGAATCTCAGTGGTAGAGACTTTGGAATCTGTCTGTTGCCAGAGACAAGAGAGCCTCTTGATCACTGTAGTCCCTAGAACTACAGGAGTGCTGGGAGGGCACATGGCAGACCAGTTTCACCATCTCTGGCTCCTCTGCTGGAGAGAAGTTCTAGGGGCCTGACTGAGAGCCCTGGGTTTGAGAATATAGCCCTTCACAGCGGCTGCTGGGGTTAACTGCCTCATTCCTTCACCATGTGCCTGTCCATGGCCAAGACAAGCATGCTGGGGAAAGGCAGGTTTTCAGTTAGCCAAACTCCCTAAGTCTGTACAGTAGAGCGCGGCAGAGGTACCCCTCCCACCTTGTTTCTACCTGACCAGGCTGTGGTCCTGTGACCTGTAAAATAATCTCTTTTTAATCCTTTCATTCATCCTAAATGAAACCTGGTTCACATGCTACCAGCTCCTTAGTCCTGCAGGGTTCAGAGAACTGTGGAGAAGTTGGGGAGGATGGGGGAGGCCTATGCTTCACCCAGGAAGAATCAGAGACATCTAGGATGGCAGGTTTCTCTTAACTTTTAAACAGATAAAAGGCTATGCTTTTTTTTTTTTTTAAACCAGGCACTTTCACACCTCTGTGCATGTTAATAATCTCTTTTGCAACTGTGTCTCCCACCACTACCCTCTGCTTCTTCTGAGCCCCAAAGCTCATTGACACCCCTCTCTACACCACACCATCCCCTCAATCATCTGTTCCGGTGAACAGCCTACACACTACGCTGTGTTTCAGCCTGGCTGGGAACTCAAACAAAAGTTTGTGTGCCTGTCCCCTCCTGACTCAGTTTGCTGGGAATTCCTCAAGGTCACATCTGTGGTACTCAGTTTTGTTCCCAAGTCCCTGACACACCATAGGAGTCCAACAAATATTTGTGCAACCTACCAGAATCCGAATGAACAAAGAAGTGCCCACTGACACGTGGATGCCATGATAAAGCTTTGTTGGTTACTTTTTTGAGACAGGTCTTGCTATGTAGCCCTGGCTTGCCTGGTACTTGCTACTTAGGCCAGGCTAGCCTCAAACTTGTAGTAATCCTCCTGCTTCAGTCTCCTGAGTTGCTCTTTGGTATCTTTGGGACAGGTGCCTCCCCCCCAGACCCCCCCTCCCCCAAACAACAGATTTAATGAATAAACTGAAAGTGATCATTTGCATATTAAAAAGGTTGGGGAGGGCAGCTTCCTTTAAACATTAAACCTTAGCTGGAACTTTCAGAAATCTGCCTTACAGATCATTAACTTTGAGGGAGGTAAGGAACCAGGAATCCTGAAGAATTAACTTTGGCAATCTGAGTTCAGAGATGCCTTCCACAAGGAAGAGCAAGACACAATATCACTGTGCCAGATAGATTTGGGCTCACATAATACCTGTGTGGTCTTGGGCAAGCCACTTAATCTCTCTGTATCCCAGGTTTCTGTCTTGCTGAAGTGGAGATACACTATTCCTGTTTCATAAGGATTTAAGAGAGCCTATGAGGTACATTAGCTTTGTAGATGGTTCCAATAACAAGCAGGAACATTGTTAGGATTGGTATTGCTTGTGGAGGACAGGAAGAGGTCAAAGCTAGTTTCTAAGATTTACCATAGACACCAGGAATAAGAAAGATAGGAAGGATCCAGAAAGGAAGGACCACCCCACTGTGGCAGTCCTTTTTTTTTTTTTTGGTATTATAGCACTTCATGGTTTTTTTTCCACAAATGATTTGAGGTGTTTGTTTATAGCAATGGGGTCTCAAGTATTCAAGGATAGCTATGAACTGTGTAGCTGAGGATGAGCTTGAACTTCTGATCTTCCTACCTCTGCCTCCCAAGTGCTAGGATTACAGGCATGGACTACCACACCCAATTTATAGGTGCTGGGGATTAAACCTGAACTGAGAGGGCTTTGTGCATGCTTCATAAGACTGTACCAACTGAGCTACACTCCCAGTCCCTGGTTTGTATTTGTACTGAGGATGAAGATGCTGGCAACTGCAGTAAACAGTGTTTTGACTGAGAACTTTGGATCCTTGAAGACCTGCTACTTACTAGCTCTGTCCTTAAGTGGTCACCTAGGCACGGTTTCCTTATTTGCCCTGATTTTTAAATTTAAAAAAAAAAAAAAATCGTTTCTTTTTTAGAAAAGATTTATTTTTATTTTTTTATTTTTTTGGTCTTTTTGAGACAGGGTCTCCCTGTAGTCCCAGCTGTCCTGGAACTCACCATGTAGACCAGGCTGGCCTTGAACTCACAAGAGATCTGCCTGCCTCTGCCTCCCAAGTGCTGGGATTAAAGGCATGCGCCACCACACCCAGCCCTATTTTTATTGTTTTTAATTATTGTATGTGTCTGTATCTGTGTGTGGTTATGTGCATGTGAGTGCAGGTGCCCAAGGAGGCCAGAGGCATCAGATTCCCTTGGAGCTACAGTTGCAGGTGTAGCTGCAGGATGAGCAGGCCATCAAGCAGGGGAGGGTTGAGTACATAACTGAAGCCCTGGGGAATGCTGGGCATCTGCTGCTTGTCAGTCATTCACACACACACACCAGGTATTGGATGATAGGTTTTGTGTGGCTATGCCATCACAGTGCTACTTGTCCATAGCTTTATGGGATCAGGTGAGGGTGCTATACCCCTTCCTGGGTCTCGAATTACCAGTCAGTTCTTGGGCCTAGTTTACTTGATATGATTTTAATATGCCATGTACCCTCACAGTTGTGTCACTCTTACAAACTTATAGAGTGGCTTCCTTTCTCCTCCAGGAATAAGTCACTTAAGTCTATACTGGGTATGTGGGCCTAATAGATGGTGTAGTTTGTGGGTTCCCTTAAAGACCACAGTCATCTTCCTCCCTCAAAATGGTGCCAAAAGCTGTTTGTAAAATGGAGTCTCCCAGGGCAATGCACAGCCTGAAAAACCAGTGTTTTATATTTTATACAACATGGAGTAACTTAGGGCATAGCCTAATCTCAACATTGTTACCCCACCTGCCATCAGTGGGAGACACCAAGTACTCTTTTTTAAAAATATTTTATTATTTTTATATGTATGCATGTATTGCCTGCATGTAGGTAAGTGCACCAGTGTTGTGCAATGCCTGCAGAGGCCCTCTGATACCCTGGAACTGGAGTTACCCCACAGTTGTTAGCTGCCATGTGGGTGCTGGGATTTGAACCCAGGTCTTCTGCAAGAACAATCACTGTTCTTAACTGCTGAGCTATCTCTTCAGCCTCGACACCAAGTACTCTTATCTTGAGATGAAGTTTATTGGTCAAAGGATCTGACCCAGCACTTTCTCTCCAGAGATTTCTGGAATGTCCTATGTCCTCTCTTCTATTGCTTGTTTTTTGCGTGCCTGCTCCCCCGCTCCCTCCCTTTCCCCTTCTCTCTCTCTCTCTCTCTCTCTCTCTCTCTCTCTCTCGCTCTCTCGCTCTCTCTCTCCTCTCCCCTCTCCCCCCCCCCCCCCCCCGCCCCCTGTAAAAGTAGGTTTGGAGCCTGGCCTGGTGGCTCACGCCTTTAATCCCAGCACTTAGGAGGCAGAGGCAGGCGGATCTTTGTGAGTTTGAGACCAGCCTGGTCTACATAGTGAGTTCCAGGGCAGCTGGGGCCACAAGGAGACCTTGTCTCAAAAAAAGACAAAAAAAAAAGTAGGTTTGGAAATAGAAGTGGCTTGGTCACCTCCCTCTGGTTAGAGAGAGAAACCTCCATGGATTTGGGCCTTCCCAAATCCAGTTGCAGGCAAAGCCCTTTTCCACTCCTTCCTCCCAGACAAAGTAGTAAGATCTGCTCCAGAATCCTTAGCATCCTGAGAGTCCATTCCCAAGGAGGCAGACAGTGCAGGAAACCCGCCCTTTGGCAAAATCAGATGAGCACTTCGGGTTACCTTCACGCCATGGTAGAGGGGCTGCCAATAACAACCTAGTAGGGCGCCCAAGGACGATGGGGACGGCCCTGCAAAGTCCACGACTCATCCCGAAAAGCTATCTAAACAAAGGGGACATTCCTCCTCCTAGCACCCTCCAGCCGAGCGGGTGTGGAGTTACACGCGGCCGGGAGAAGTCCGCAGGACAGCTGCGTCCGGCAGTCGTCTCGGGGTCTCCTCCGGTCCCCGGGGAGGAGTGGGGTCGGGCCCCGGGACAGGCCGGGTGGCAAGTGCTCCCCCAAATCAGGGCGCATCCCTCGGTCCCCGGCCGAGGCCGTCTGGGCGCCGGGAACGGAGCCGCAGCTGCTCTGGGCTCCGGAGTCCACCCCATGGAGCGGCCCGGCGGCCACCCCGGAGGCTGGGGGTGGGGACAGGCCTAGGTCGCGGCTCCTCCAGCCCCTTCCGCCGCCCCTCCTCTCGTCTTCCTCGCCCTCTCTTCTCCGGCGGCCACGGGCTCGGCCTGTGCCCCTCGAGCGAAGCGGTGAACGAGCAGTCGGTGCGGCTCCTAGCGTCCCGGCTGGAGCGAGGTCGTGACGCGCGCTCAGCGGGGCCGGGATTACAGCGCCCAGCCTCGCCCCGGGACCCGGGCAGGACACGCACCCAGAGGCGAGGCCTGCGGGCCGCGCTCTTGCCGGCCGGGACTCGGGGCTGAAGTCCGTCCCGGGACTCTGTAGCGGGCCCCGGACGGAGAGAGTGCAGAAGGGCCGCGCGTCTCCGAGGGATGGAGGTGATGGAGGCGGCGGCCAGGCCTGCGCGCAGCGGCAGTCAGTGAGTACCTAGAGGAGCCTGGTGGGGCGGCGGGGCGCAGAGGGGTCCCGGCAGCCTGGACCCACAGAGCCGGCAGGGTCGCGGAGGCCCGCCCTCACGTCCATCTTCATTAGCTTTTCGTAGCTCTCTGGCCCTAAGAGCAGAGTGCTCCAAGCACCACTGTCTTCCGGGAAGACTGCCCAGAGCCCTTCAAGGGGAGGGTCTCATTCTTTAAGATGTGCAGACAAGGATCATCTGGGCCGCTGTTCCAGACTTACCTATCACAAAGTTCTTCTAGTTTTACCGAAACGGCTCACATTACATTTCAACCCTGTCTTCTGGATTGGACCTTAGAGGAGAGGAAGAGGTGGCTGGGCTGCCTGTTGTATTCTAGATGAACCGGTGGAGGAAATGACTTCTGCCCTGAAGATAATCCTTAAACTTCGCTGGCTTACTGCTGATGTGTTTTGTGTTATATGTGTTATTTTGCTTTATAAAATCCATGTATTCTTGAAAAACATCTAAACCGAATTGTAATAAACAAGAGGGACTTGCCTTGTAAGAGCATTTTAAGGTCAACCCTTAGTGTGTAAAAGGAATAATTAACCCCCAACTTGTAGTTTATGCACATTCTTATATATAGAATTTACTTCAAATGAGACACATCTAGATGTAGGGTGTTGTTTGAGAAGCCATTAGTATCAGCCCAGTTACCAAGGAGCTGTGCAATGCTGGTGAGCCTCCTGACCTCAGACCTAGGGTCTCCTGAAAGAATAAGGGGGTGTGCTTAAGTGATGACTATTCTGAAGGAGCGCTGGGCTTGGAATGAGAAGTTTTTGGTCCCAAACTCCCCGCCCCTTGCATCTGTGTGGTGTAATTTCTCTGTGTCTCAGTTTCTCCATTTATAAAAAAAGATGATGACAACCTTCCAGCAGAGCCATGTCAGAATTATTTTAGAGACTACTTGAAAACTCTTGAGAAAGTTTCTGCCTGGTACAGAGCAGGTGGCTGATAGGAGTTGGTGACTGATCACTGTCTCCTTTTAAGCACAGTCCCATACTGTGTGGCCTAAGTGCACTGGGGGTGAGGGTGAGGCTGGGAGGCAATACCTTCCACTGGAGGGGATCCTATCTGTCCCCTTCCTGAGGTCCCTCATCCACAATGAAGAGCACATCGTCATTAGCAGACATTAACGTCCTCCTCTGAGGCCACCTTTCAGCACAGCAAGAGGCAGGATTGGGGAATTGTCCTGCTTTTCACTCTGGTACATATTTGGCATGGGATTAATTGTTTGAAGCTTTGTTTTGCTCACCTGTAAAGTGGTATAGAAAAACTAGAACACAGCACCTATGAAGCCCCATCCCCCTGAGGTTCTATTGCCTGCTAATGGTTGCTGGGGGTTGAGGGTGTGTCATTTTCTTCAGTGGTATAACCACTGAGAAGTTACCCATCCTTCAATAAATAACCTCTTACAAAAAAAAAGAAAAGAAAGAAAAACTAAATTAGAACATTATTCATACTTGGAAGCAAAAAGTTCAGTAATAACTTGTTTGCACTGTCCTATGACTTGTGCTTTTCCAAGTGCAACACATTTTGTAGAGGGTACCTAAGTGCTTAGACTCTAGGTTACTCTCATCTGAGCAGGGCTCCATCCACATCAGGATACGATGAGGGACTAAGCAAGTTACTGGAACCATCCAGATACAGGGTCTCACAATCTGTTTTCTCCTCAGAGGGTCCAGGACAGGGAACAGAACAGCCAGCCCCATGCAGGTAACCTCAGCTATGGAGAGAAATGGTCCTGAGCCACAGCCAGACAATGGGCCCCTCTTGAGATCCTGGATCTGCCCCCAGGAAGACCGAACATCTAGCCTGATGGCCCCCAAGCCTCCCAGGGCATGGGCGCTGCAGCTCCAAGGCTCTTCTGTTCTGGAGTCCAAAGTAAGGGCCTTGAAGGACAAGATGACAGCAGGTAAACTAGGGACAAAGCCCTGTCCCACTTCTCAAGAGTGTTCATCTTCCAAGAATTCCAAATGTCATCAAATCAAGCCTGGAGTAGTCCAGGGCTCTCCCCTGCCAGCTGCATTGGTTGTCCCCCAGGCTCAGAACCTGACTGATGGGCAGCTGGACAGCAGTGCCAATGAGAAGGAAACTGCCAAGAATGGTAGCTCCAGGCTACCCAGGCCTCCTGCCCCTGGGCTTGAGTGCTGGAATGGGCAGAACCCATGTTCTTCAGAAGCCACTTGGACATTGCCTGACCATGAAAAGGATCCATCATCAGGATCTGGCTCTTTGCAAGAGAACCCCATCCACCAAGTTAGTGTGGGCCAGCCACAGGGGCCTGGTCCTTATAAAGTAACCCACATGCCCAGCCTGAAGAAAGAAAAGCCATACCCATGTCAAGATGGTCTGGTCATAGAGCGAGATCTGGACAGTACAGCCCTGACTGCTAAGGAGGACTTAGTCCCCAAGACAGACCTGCTGGAGTGGCGCTGGAGAGCTGGTGATTTGGGGTCTCTGGGCACGGAGAGCAATGATTTGTCCCTGTCTGACCGAGTAGAGAAGAACCGCTTACTGCTGCAGGAGATGCTGAAGGTTTCAGGACAGAGTTCCCCCAAAGTGGGAAGCCCAGCTGAGACTCTGTCTTGGGACAGAGCTACACTAGGTGAGGGTCCCTCTGTGGGCCTGGTTTGGAGCAAATGAGGAGTGGTGGAGGGCTGAAAAAGAGGGAGAGCACAACCACCTGTCACTCAAATCATCAGTATCCAGCTGGGACATCAGTCCTTTATCATCTCAAAGGTAGCCCCAACTGCTGCAGACCCTGTGACCCTCCCTGACATTGGGAGACAATCCTCTGTGCTTTTGGACAGAGGCTACATGACATTGCTGTGTCTGTAGCCCTTCCCAGAGTGGCCTCTTGTAGTCCCTCCAATGACAGGATCCCATGCCATTCCCAGTGTGCTTTAGTGCCCTCTGGTCAGCTAACAGACAGGAGCCCTTCCCTGCAGAGGCTAAACATCCTGCCCACTCGGCAGAGCACTGCTGGAGGAGTAAGTGTTCAGACCCTAGAACGCAGCCTTCTCTCATAAGCTCATTCATTCCCTCACCATAAGGTCCTCTTAGCCTACAAGGAGCCCACCTACAGTCATTTTGTGACAACTTGTGTCTCCACTTCTCAGGCCGGGACACAGGTCCCAGTTGCCACTTTCTGACCCTATCACACTGGAGTTTAGATGTTAATATGTGAATTTGAGGGAATATAGGCATTCAGCCCACATAGGGAGTAAATTATCAGAGAGCATCTCTCTTCTGTGTATGCCAAGTGGCAGCTGAGAGTTCAGCTGGTGGCTGTGCCCTGACCTCTGATTCTGCTCTGGGCCCTAGAGCGACCGGCGGGGGACGTGGACTGGGACTCGGGCACCCCCCTGCAGGACTCAGGTCAGAGCAGGTAAGGGCTTGGAGCCCACATCTTCTCTCCCTGCTTCCTCACCAGCATCCCCCCATTTTCTGTGCACCAGGACGGGAAGAGACCTTGCAAAGGCCAGAGAAGTGGAAAGGCGAAGCCCTTCACTGGTGGACACTGGTCACTGCTATCATGCTTGGGACCCTGTAGAGGGTACCAGTCATTCCTAGTGCCCCAGGCTGTTGCCTGCCTGCCATTTGAGCAAAACCACTGGGTGCAGAAGTCTGCAAAAAGCTGTCTATCTACCTGCTGTATGTCCTAAGGCCATTTCCTCTGCTTAGACTTCTACTCTTTTTATCTTTAATTTTTTAAAATGTGAGTTTTTTGCCTGCATGTATTTAAGTGCATCATGTGCATGCAGTGCCCAGAAAGGTCAGAAGAGGATGTGGGATCCCCTGGAACTGGAGTTATAGATGGTTGTTAGCTGCCATGTGGGTGTTGGGGACCAAACCTGGATCCTCTACAAGAGCAACTGGTGCTCTTAACCACTGAGTCATCTCTCTAGCCCATCTTTATATTTTAAAAGCAGGAGCAGTTGAGAAATCTGGTTAGTTCACAAGATTATTGTGAAGCTAAAAGGAGATAATGGATATGAAAGTCCTTAGGGAAAGTAAAGGAATGTAGAATTTTAACTCCACCCAGTCTCCCAAATCAAAGGAGTATGCTGGGGTCAGGGTCAAGGATTTCACCTCCAATCTTACACCGAGGCCTATGGTTTCCTAGCCCCTCCACTATTGTTTTGGGGAAGCTGGCATCTAGGGGCTGGTGGAGAAAGTGAGGTAGTGCACTGAGCCTGGCAGGTTAGGGAGAGTGTATATGCCCCAGGTATGGTGGGGACCCCTTCTGGGCCTGAGCCTCCACTGGTGCCCATGAAGAGGCTGGCCTCAGCCTCAGCCTTTGCTGGGATGTTGGTGCATGAGGCTGAGAGAGGGTCTAGGGCTGGGAGGGGCTCCCATTTCCACAGCTGCACATGATGCCGGCCTCCACAGGGTCTCGTGGTATCTGCTCCTGCTCGCAGCAGCCATCATTGTTGATTCTCACTGGTCAGGCTGCTCCCTGCATAAGTCCCATTTAGATAGACCCATCCTCCCCAAAAACACAGGCAATGCCTCTGTCTTAGTCCATGTAGGCTGCTGTAACAAAATGCAATGGGTGGGCTGACTTCAAAACCACAGAAATGCCATTCTCGCAATTCAGGAGGCTGGAAATCCAAGATCAAGAAGCCTGCAGATTGGTGTTTGGTGAGGACCTGTTTCCTGGTTTATAGATGGCACTTTCTCACTGTGTTCTCACAGGGTAGAAAGGGACAAGGAAACTTCCTAGTTTCTCTTTTATAAGAGCAGTCATCACCTCCCTAGCCTCCATTTCCTAATCCCATCACATTGAGAGTTAGATTTCAACATATAAATTTTGGAAACTATAAGCACAACCCCAGTTCTGTTCCTGCTTTAGCAAACTGAGGGTGCTGAGAGTCAGGTGATCAGGGCTGGTAGAGGGACATCTGGTTCTTTTGTCTATGCTAATTTATGTCTGTCTTGTCACCTTCCTGGCTGCTCTTCTCAGCCTCTCACCCATCCTTACCTGGCCCTGTCACTGTGGTCCTCAGTGATGCTTTGCTCCCTCTACCCTCTTGCTTCCTCCATCCCTGTCGAGCTCCCTGGTAAGCCTGAGCAAAGGCAACTATGTGCTGCAGAGACTGAGCCCCTTTCCCTGCTGCTGCTCCACTTCCCCACTCCCAAACCCCCACCACTCCAGTTCCCTCACAGGAAAGTACAGTCACTGGGATTTTGCTCAGAGGTCACTGTGGAAAAAAGACAAGCCCCTGAATTGTACATTAGATAATAAGTAACAAGACCTATTATTTTTAAAAGAGATTCTCAACCAGGGTTAGGGAAGGGCTTTCACCTAGGCTTGTGAGGATGCATAGAATCCGCAGGACTAGACTTCTGGTTGGATAACCCAACAGGCCATCTGTAGCCATGGGCTATACCTCAGAGTTCAGGTATTAGAACCAAATGTGGTGGTACATACCTCTAATCCAAGAACTTGGGGAGCCTGAGGCAGGAGCATCCAGGCCATCCAGGGCTACATAGTAAGACCATGTCTCAAAAACAGACAGACAAGCATATAGAGGTCAGGTGTGGCATGTATGTATATTGTATAAGTCACATATATATTTGTGTGGGTGAGTATGCAGTTATAATGAGTAAGAGTATGTGTATGAGGGAGATACATACACAAAGAGAGAAAGACAGACAGACAGGCACACTGACTTTAGGACTCTGTTCAAAGACTAATGAAATGCCCCTTAGAATGCCCAATAGGCAGAGAAACAGAGTTGGCATGAAGATCAGGTCCCTGCTAGATAGACACCTGAGCTGCAGGGCCAGGAAAGGTAGCCAGATTCATGGAGGGGGAAATGCCAGTCCTGCTATGATACCCTGAGACACAGCAGGACTCTGTCTCTTTTCTGAGTGAGGTAGATTTATTGATACCACAGTTAGAGAGTCCAGTTTGCCCAGAGACCATGGACTTCCCTTGGCTCTAGACCCCAGGAGAACCACAGAATACTCAGGTCTTGGGCTTAGTGTCTGTGTTACGGGGTATAGGACCTTGGGCAGAAGAGTGCTTTGAGGCTGTGGCTGACCATTGCAGTGGCCACCCATCAATTCATGCCATAGCACCTCATTCTTTGAGTCCTGCAGACCTTCCCAGGGTTTGGAGAGCAAATAATCCTGCCTCCCAATCAGTTAAGTTTAGTATCAACATAATTCATGTTATAATCAAGTAACCATTACAACCAAGTTAACTTAACCATACTTAGTTGTTACTATTTTGCAAGGTAATAAGAAGCTCATGAAATGACATGGATTACAGAGCCCCAAACAGTATTTGGGACTGGAGGAGTCTAGGCGAGCTTGCTGCAAGGTGGTCTTAGAGAATCAGCCGTGGAGGAGAGTCACCTGAGCATCCAGGATCTCAAATCTTGCAGGAGACCTTCTTCCCCTACCCCCGGGGTTGTTCTGTATTAAGAGTCAGCCTTTGCTCAGTCCTATAGGAACTGTGGCCAGTTGAAAGAGCAGGCTGGCATTTTCATACTCTGCCTATGTGCCAGGGTGGTGTAAATGCTGTTTCTACATCTCACTTTATCCCTAGGATAGATCTTACCTATTGTTCCTGGTTTACTAACAGAGCGCTCTCTGGAGGAGGCCAAGTGACTTTCCCAGGCTTGGAGTCAGGACTTATACTCAGGCTCCAAAACCTGTGCTCTAACTGCTATTGGGCACCGCCTTAAGCTATCCTTTCCATCCCTCCACAGACCATCTTGTCAGACTACCTCTTAGGCTAGGAATCCAGGGCCTTTCCCTGGATTTTCCCAGCTGATCTGTTCTCAGATGTGGGCAAAAAGGGATGTGTAAGCCAGCTTGTAAGCTGACCACTCTACGTGTTGGTGTGCTTTCAGACAGAATCACCTCCTCTTGCTCTCCCCACACACTGCCTACCCCTCTTGCCCCCAGTGCCACCTCTGTTATCTATCTCCTTAAGTTCCTGGGGGCAGGAACCATGCCATTCAGAAACAGGCTCTCAGAAAACGCCTAACAGAGGCAGCCAGGAAGGAGCTGGTAAGGGCTTCCCAGCAGCTGGAGCTTGTGTGGGCTTGCTAGGGTCTGGATGGAAGCAGGAGGGGCATTCCAGAGGAGTGAGACTGCGGAAACGCTGGGGAGAGTCTGAGGTGGAATGTGCAATGATAGTTTCTGGATGTAGGGTAGAAGGCAGCTGAAACTGAGGGGAGTCTGGAATTGAGATTTCATCTTTGATTTCACCCTGTGCCTACTGCCCTTTCATCACAGGATGATTTTATCTCCTAGAAGTATGGGCTGGTACAGCCCCTGTGGGCTTGGCAGTGTCGAGGAGCCTGATGAGGAGGTTTGTAGGCCATCTTGAGTCACTGGCCAGTTTTTAAATCTTTTGGGTCCTGAGCATCAGTGAGTCATGAGGTGCCCCTCAGTAAGCCTGGGAGAAGAGACACTGGCCAGCTCCAGAATTCCTAGAGCCATTGGAGGTCACTGAGGAGTCCCCAGGGCAAGATGTCACTAAAAGTGGTTGAGACTTGACCATCCTCATCCTGCCCCAGCCAATTAGATAGGCAAATACAGAGAAAGCCCTGTCCCACTCCTAGCCCAAAGAGACTGAAAGAAAAAAGGAAAAAACCAACCAACAACAAATTGAGTGTTTTAAATACTTAACCTGTTTCTATGCTGTCTAGTGTTCTGCCCGAGTTGACCCTGAAGCCCTATGCAAAACCAGTGTTACTGGAACCTGTGGGTATACTGTCCCACACCACATTTCTTGCCACAGTCACATTCATATCATACAGGACATCTTTGTCATGGCTCAAACCTTACAGTGGAGGAGCTGTCCCCAAGGTGGGAGTCTCACCTGGGAATGTCTCAGACACCTGCTGCCATCTATGGCCACTCTGTCCTCCACATTGAGCCCAGGCAGTGCTGACATGGTCAGGTGTCTTGCTCTGGACCTCAACAGGAGTTTGTCATCTGTCTTTGTTTTTTTTTTTTTTTTTTAATCTCCACAGGAAAACCCAAATGCCATCACAGGTAGAAGTGCACCCCCTCTTAAGGACCCCTTTCTTCCTTCTCTATGGAGAGGAGGGGCACAGCCCATCTCTGCTCCTCACTGGTCTTCTTCTGGCCTGTGTGCCATAGAAATCACCTTTTCTATGATTTCCTGTCCAAGTGAGAACAAAACCAGCAAACCCTCTCTAGCAGCAAGGTGACAGTCACTTCCAAAGGAGCCTTCTCTTTGCCAGAAGCAGGGTGATCGCATTGGCAGGTGACCTTAGTTAATGTTCAAGGATCCCTGCCTTTGCTTAGTGGAAGGGTAGAAGTGATTTAACAAACACTGTTGCAAATAATAGAAACAACAATAATAAGTGCTTACATTTATGGAATTTTCCCAAGTTCTCACTCTAACTTCAGCCCTTTGAAGGGAATGATTCTCACATATCTTTACAACTGATCTTAAATTAGCAGGTGAGGAAGCTTAGGCTTTAACCCTGAAATCACTCAGCAGGGTAACATGGCTAGGAAGAGACAGTCCAGGGATTAGGACTTAGGGGGGCTACCCCTGGGCCACACTGTGAACCTCTCTATGTTTGTCCTGTTGGTAATCCTGATGACCAGAGAAGGGCCAAGGCGGTGCCCTCATGAACCCATGAGCCTCAGCCGACATGCCTTTCTTCCTCCCTCACTCAGGACAGTGATAGTAAAAGAGTTCTTCTCTTGGCCATCAAAAACCCTTAAAATAGAACAGAGCGTGGTGGCACAGGCCTTTAATCCCAATATTCAGGAGGCAGAGGCAGGTGGATCTCTGAATTTGAGACCAGCCTGGTCTATGTAGCAAGTTCCAAGCCAGTCAGAGCCATATGGCGAGACCCTGTCTCAAGAAAAAAGAAAAGCTTTAAAATGTACACAAAATGGAACAAATGTTAATGTTTTCTCTTTACTGGCTGTATCCTGGAATCTGGTCAGATGTCTCTATTCTTTATTATTTCCTGATTCATGTGCCAGAGATGAAAGGGTTAAGCCAGACTTGCTGGAGCTTATCTTTGTAATCCAGGATTATGATGGCTGTAGAGAAAAGCCCCTCTCTCCCCTTGACCTCTCCGGCTTGGAGAGAGATGGGATTCTCCTGACCTGTATGGCTGTGAGGGGACCTGAAGTCACCACTAAGCTTATCCCCACTCTGAGAATCTGGACTAGATGCAGAGAAGAGAGGGGAGGGGACACAGGCTCCCTTTGTCCTCAGGATGCTGGTGGTTGGAGGAGCAGAGGCAAAGGCATGAACACGCCAGTGGACCTCCAGTTTTCCCCCAACAACTAGCTCTTTGTGGGCTTCATCACACCACAAGAACCAGTCTCCTGTGGTCTGAATTCCCCCAAGGTGGGGACCATTGGACCCCCCTCCCCCATCACAGCCTGCGTGGCCAAAGACACAGACTCATAGGGTAGCAGCGTGAGACCTTTCTCCTGAGGACCCTCCTTACAGACAGAGAAACAGGCCTGGGAGGAAAAACACAGAGCCACCTTATTCCTATGCCTGCCCACAGAGCTAATGAGCCCCAGAAATTCAGGCTTCAAGGTGGTAGTAAATGCTTTTAGTTTGTAGGTGGGTGTGGTCTGTGCAGATGTATGCATTGACTGCCTGACCTTGCCAGGTGATTTCCAAAGGAATTGGGAGAACTAGGATTATGGATTTTAGTCTGTGATTGGAAGGGTTGGCTCTAGGGCTATGTGCCTCTGGCCAGGATCAGATTCGAGTACAATCTTCCTTAGTTAGAAGACCTTGAACCTGTCTGGAGGGGTATGTACCCTCTGGTGTGGTGATGGGAGATGGGCAGTTAGCAGGGACAGACTTGGCACCCCACAATGCTGCACGTGTTTGCTCCCTGTCCTGAAGGATAAAGACTACCTGTCCTCTGCAAGCTGGCAGGACCCCATCTCCAGGGTGCACAGTAACAGGAGTCCTTGTTCTGCTGACCTTGGCTGCAGTCTGTGAAGGTGGCTGCCACTCTCCTCCCTGCATGGATGCCTCCAGGCACCCAGAAAGCCTGTCTTTCTAATCAGTGGAGAAACCAGCTTTTCCAGAGACTGAACAGGGCAGCTGATGAAGGGAAGACGGGGGGAGCTATTCTAAAAAGGAAACAGCAGAGCTGGAAATGGCTTAGAAACCCGGGGGCAAGGCTGATCATGGCAGCATCTGGCCAGCTGCCTAGGGGCCCTCCTGCCTGCCCACCAGGCCTGTGACAAATGCCCTCCGACAGCCGGGGAGGCACAGCTGTCACCGGAAGGCTCTGAGTGTGCAGGCTGGCAGCCAGAGGCCTGCGGCTGCCGGGGCACCTCTGTGGCTGGTAACCTCATTATCTCTGCTGTCGGAGCTGCAGCCCCCGGGAGCACAGCTGCTCTCAGCTGTGGTTTGGGGAGCTGCCTACTCTGGAAGCCATGTGGGGGGAGCCTCTCTTGCCAAGGGAGGCCTCATGGGGCAGCCAGCCTGGAGAAGTACTTTTGCCATCACTCTAGTGAAGCCTTCCTTCCAAGCCCGGCCTGGCCCTGCCAGGGCTTATGGGCCCAGATGGTGCTTTTATGCTAGCAGCCTATTCCCCTCTGGCCCAAAGCAGGGTTCAAAGCACATGACAAGAAGAAAACAAAAAGAAAACCATTATCTGCTCAAAGCTGGTCCAAGGGTATCCCAAGGAGCCCTTGTCCTGCAGGCCTCAGATTTGTGCCTTTGTCCAACTCATGTCTGTCATCATGAAATTCCCTGGTATCTTTTTGAGGTCAGAACAAAGCCTGCCCTTTTTCCCACGTAGCATATGGAGGGAGTTGGCACCCCAGTTATGAGCCCATGCTGAGCCTTTGACTGCCTGAGTTCTCTTTCTGGGGAACCCTCTCTGCAAGCAGAGCCAAAAGTGTGGACAGTGTGGATGCTGGAGTTCTAGAAAAGCCTGTTTGACCTTAGCCACAGACATCCTTTCCCACCTGGGGGCCAAGGTAGGAGAGGCAGGATGTGGAATGAGGCTGAAGGTGATGGGGCTAGCTGGTGTCTGCATTGCTCTGCTTAGCTCTCGATTGTTGTTTAACCTTGAACCATGTACCCACATTCCCCTTCACTCCAAACACTCTCATCTGTCAAGCGGAGAGAACACCTGCCCTTGTCTAGCCTGCTTGGGGCAAGCCAACTCTGCAGAGAAAGCCATCTTGTCAGGGGGAGGTGTGGGCTGCTGTACTTCCATAACCAGCACAGGTGGCATGTTACTGCTAGGGAGTCAGCTTTGGAAAGGGGTGCCTATCATTTCCACAGCCTTGGACTGGCCGGGGAGGTAGCACATCTGGTCTGGTGGTTCGCCACTAGAGGATCCTTGTTATGAAAATCCAACCATTTGCTGACTTGGTTTGGGTCCAGCTTAATTTCTCTCTGCCCTGAGCCTATGAGCCCTGAGCTGATGTCTGACAGGTCTGGATTGGGACTATGGTGAGAAAACACCAGGAATTATAAAAATGTCATCCCCCAAAGGACCAGGACTATGATCAGCAGCACCTTGGCCCTATGTCTGTGGTGGGAGCTGGGGGCGGGGCAGTATGAGCCACAGTGAGTGCATGTGTGGGTGCTGAGAGACAGAAGGCAGTGACTGGGAGGCCATGCATGGAAAGACCATCTGTCGGGGCACAGGCCCATCTTCATAACCCCAGGACCTTTCATCCCCTCCTCCCGGAAAACTCTTCTGCCCAGGAAGGAACAATAGAACAGACTTTCTGACCTTTTTCCAATCCATGTGCAGATGTCCAAGGTCGGGCCAGCCCCCTAGTCACTGTCTGAGCTCAGGGCATTTCCCAGGCCTCAGGCAGGACCCTATGGAGGCGCTAGATCGGGAAAGCTGCAGAACCAGCACTTGACACCATTAAAGCCCCCAAGCCATGTTATTTTCTTCTAATCCTCCTGCCCATCCTGGCTTATGCTACCCTGCAGGACCTTTCCTCCCAACCCGGAGCCTGTGCTGAGTACCAGGCACGAGGAAGCCAAGCATCTGTTGAGGCATTCTCGCATGAAGGCTAGAACCCAGCCGCTCCGTGCCAGCCACGATATTGTGCCCACTATTGCTCAGGGCAGCCGGTAAGTGGGGTGTGGGGCCTGAGCCAGAATGGCCTGGGAAGGAGGGCTGTGGCAGGGAAGGATTAGTAGTGGGAACAGCTGGAATCTAGCCAAAATGTCTCTTCCTCTCTCTCTGTCTCTCTGTCTCTGTCTCTCTCTGCAGTACTTGCTGTGATCTTTTAGTCAGTCAAAACTCCTTTACTTAGGGCCTACTGGGTATCATAAATTGAGATGTGTAGGAGAGGAAAAACACAAATGCAGAACTGGGAATGTACCACTCCACCTGGAAAGGACAGGTGGACTCTCAAGAGGAGGTGGCTTTTCAGTTGGGCTTAAAGGAGCTGTCTATGTTCATTGGGCAGATGTGGGCAAGCAGGGGTGGTATTCTAGGGATTGAAGCTGAGTTGAAGTGCTGTGCTCAGGAGCTCTGCCAGACTGGAGGAGAGTATTCCATGATGCATGATATATAACTTGAAGGCTGGAGAGTTTGGGAGAGGGCAGCCATGGAGGAACTGCAGGCCCACAGAACAATTCATATGTCCCCTGACATAGCTTGGGACCACAGGACTTTAAGTTTGTGGATAGCATAGTCACATGTGTATTTCTCTCACATCCTTCTGACTTTGGGCAGCACATAAAATCTGGGAGGCTGAGGCAAGAGAGGTTGTTGCTGTGATCCTGGTGGGAGGTTCCAGGAAGAAGACATGGAGACTTCTCAGAGACCCCCAAGAACTAGAAGCAAGCTGGCTTCCCAGGCAACCTAAGACCTGACTACCCAGGTTGGAATTCTGGCTTTTCCAGTGATTAGCTGTGTGCCTTTGGGGAGGTCTCTGTGCCTTTGTTTCTATATCACAAAATAGGAATTATAACAATAGTTGTCTTACAGGATTGTGAGATTATATGAATTAATGTACAAAAGGCACACCCGGCATATTGAGAGCTATATGCACATGTAGTATCAAACTCTAGTTATCCAGCATCTGAATTTGGGGGCAGAAAGGGAAGGTCCTGGGTTTGTTGAACTGGACCTGTGCCCAGACAAATGGTCTTTTCATACATGGCTTCCTTGTCTCCCCCACATCTCCAAAACAGAGCCCAGTGTTCTGACTTGTATGTAAGTACTCAGTGTGGCCCTAGCCAAGGGGTGATGCCTAGGTTCAAGATCAGGCTTCAGAGGGGAGGAGCCCTAGAGCAACCACTGGAAATGGCCATTGAACAGCTGGATCATTAGAGGTGTGATCAGCACTGGAGATGTGGGTACTGTTCCTGACTTCATCATGTGGGACCGGTGAGGGTTGAGCTCATCTAAGATGAAGAGACTGGAAAAGAATAGGTTCAGGAACTTCCAGACTAGTACATCACATATGTGACTGCTCCCAACCCACACACCTGTCCCCAGCATTGTGCTTATTATTTTTATGTTGCACCTTATAGCGTCACTCACATAAATTTTCCAGCACACAGATGCAGCCTACTATGCTCCTGGGCCCAAGATGAAGCTGTCAGGTCATGCTAGATCTTGCAAGATCCAAGCAGGATCACTTCTGTAAATGACAAGGCCTGTGGCATCATCAGCATGGTAGATACATTGAATCTGCCTGTCTCTATCACCATGTGGTACTGGAAGGAATGTGGACTCTTAGTAAAATGGAGCCGTGTGCTCTCTGATGGAGGATGCTGAGCCCGCTAGCTAAAGACTCACAGAACCATTGCCGTGACTCCACTGAGAGCAGAGGCCTCTTTGTTCAATATCATTGTGATCCTTAGAAGAGGGGCACAGGAGACCCTAAATCCCAAGAAGATATGCCCAGCAGGTTACCCTTTCATTGTCTTCCTCTGGCCAGAATCCTCATTGGAATGATACAGTTTCTTTGAGGCATCCTAACTCTTCTCCACATATGCAGAGAGGGATGCATTAGACAACCAAGGAACTCTTGTCTACTTTTCTATAGGTATTTCAGTGGAGTGGTGAGCCACAATATACGCAAGACTGTTCAGTGTGCTTTGTCCTCTTGGGCACTTCTCCAGATCACTTGAACTACCCTCTAACACCCTGTCATTATTGTAAAGTGGGTTCCCTCTTTTCCTGGCCATAAAAATGCTATAAAAATGCAAGGTGACCCACTTTAGCAGCTGCTGTGTCCAGAAAAGAATTACTATGGCTTGGCAGCACTGGTGAATCCTCAGAGGGTAGAGCTGAAAAATCCACACCAGATGGCTTGCTGCAGCTGCTCTGAAAGGTTACACTCCATCAGCTCACCCTGGAGGGCAGGCAGAGTTAAGATGGTGATGCCAGGCAAGCCCTAGGCCTCAGTTAGATGCAGGAGGTTCTGCTCCAGTCCCACAACATCACTCTTAGGGAAAAGATGAGGGAGGAGGAGGGGCAGTCAGGCAGAGCCATCTCTGGGAAGCCCTCTTCACCCTAGGTCTACCTAGGGGCAGTCAGGTGAGCCCAAATACAGGGCTTTCCCAGGAGGGGACGTGGTAGAGACAGTGGCTTGTCTAGAAACAAATCCACATAGAAATCAAGCAATTGCTGGCACTTGGGGACTAGGCAGACTTAGATTGATGTTCTTAATCCCAAGAGATCAGGACATGTCAGCAGGCTGCACCCTGGGAAGGTGGCACTTTAAGTGGGTTTGTCCTTGTGTCAAGAGGCTGTATGAGGCTTCAGAGCTTACATATCACATCAGTTGTATGGCTAGGACAGTACTGTCATAGAAAGTGGGCTGTAGAAAGGGGATCCTCTTGAAGGCCATGCAACTCCAGGGCTACAGTAGAGGCCCTGAGCTTGGCCAGAATCCTGTCCTTGTGGGGCCTCACCTTGAGAAGCAGAGCAGCCGTAGTATTTGCTTGTGGCTTAACTGCCTCGTGTGCTCCAAGGGTCTCACCCTGTTTTTTCTGTGCTGTTATCTATCTGCTGGTTGGGCCTCGGGGTCTGAATAATTAGATTGAAGACCCTTACATGAATAGCTCTCCTTTACTTTTTACATTTTTTTTATTATTATTGTTTTGTTTTTGATACGAGGTCTTACTCTATAGCCCAAGCTGCCTTGACCTTACTATGTAGTCTGGCCCTGGCCTTAAACTCAGAATCCTCCCACCTCAGCCTCCTGAGTGCTGGGATTACAGACATATCCCACCATGCTCAGCTTTTTCATTTGTCCTTTTAAAATAAAAATCCACTCCCAGATGGGTGTGGTAGCACACACCTTTAATCCCAGCACTTGGGAGGCAGGTGGATCTCTGTGAGATTGAGGCCAGCCTGGTCTACATAGTGAGCTCTAAGCTAGCTGGAGCTAGAGAGAGACCCTGTCTCACAAAACAAGAAGATTCACTTCTTTTGGAGTGAATTTGGGGATGGCTCAATTCATTAGCTTCTGTGTAAAGTTAAGGCCACTGCTGTACCCCATGGAACCCAGACTCTTACTATACTGCCCTGAAAACTGATTTTTTTTTTCCTTTTTGGAACTTAGAGCCCACTTCCCTCCAGTCAAGCAGGTCATTGACCCTGGAGCCTGAGAGCTGGAGCAGATGGTTCTGAGCCACAAGTGCAGCATCTCCATTGCACCATGTCTATGTTGTGTAGACCTACTGTCTAGGTTGTCCTGCCTTTGTGCTGGGGAGTGTCTGCTTGATGGTGCACCTTTTGTTTCTAGAGGGCAACATTGCTATCTTTCAGTGGTTCCTTCAAACCCTGATATTTGAATCTGTGGTAGTAAATGCACAGTGTAGGTGTTCAGAGCAGGGATACACAATCAAAGGACATTATCCAGAGTTCTCCAGAGAAACACAACAAAAGGCTATGTCTGTATATTGAAAGGTTTACTTTAAGTAGCTGGCTAATAAACTTATAGTAAATCCAAAGCCTGGTAAATTCAAAGCCTGCAGGGTAGGCTAGCCTGGGGAAAAGTTTCAGTTCAATTCCAAAGGCAGTCTGTTGGCAGAATTTCTTCTTGCTCCAGGAGGTCAGTCTTGGTTTTCCTAAGGCCTTTGAGGTCTAAATCATCATAGAGTATAATCTACTTTATTCAAAGTCTGTCAATTTAAATGTGACTCTTATCCAGAGAAGCCCTTGCCCAGTAACATCCAGAATGTTTGACGAAGTACCTAGGCACTGTGGCCTAATTTTATGTCAACTACCAAATCAACATAAGATTAGCAATCTTGTCACCAGCAGTGGGAGATGTTGCTATCTGTGCAACCTGAGGGGTTTTCCTCGGAGGCTTGTACAGAGTGCAGCCAGGATCTTATGCTGTAGAAAAGAATTTTAGGTGAATGACCATGAAGCAGAGTTGCAGTTTCTTTATAGATATATTTTTATTTTATGTGTATGAATGTATTGCCTGCATGCATGTAAGTACCTTCCAAGGTCAGAAGAGGGCATTGGATCCCTTGGAACTGGAGTTACAAAAGGTTAGCTGTCATGTGGGTGCTGGTACTCAAATCTGGGTTGTGTGTATGTGTGTGTGTGTGTGTGTGTGTGTATGTGTGTGTGTGTGTGTGTGTGTGTGTGTGAGAGAGAGAGAGAGAGAGAGAGAGAGAGAGAGAGAGATGATTTGCTGGCTTTTGAAGTTACATTGTTTAAAGGATGCAAACTTTAACTCTGAATTTAAAAAATAGAGTAAAACATGAGCTGATTTATTCCTCTTAAAAATTTTCCTTTTGTAAATGGGATTATCAGGTAGTTTATACAGTGGTTGTTTGGGTGTATGGATGAAAAAGGACTTCTGATAGGGTTAGAATCTAAGGTCACAAAGACTGAAAACAGGTCTTGTCCTTCATTTGGCTCTTGCTGGAGTAGCCCTCAGGAAAGGAGTGAAGTCTGCAGTCATCTCTGCAGTAGGTTTGGTCAGCTGTGTTGATATTCTTGACTCTTAGCCTTGAGAGACTTAAACCAGAGCCCAGGGAAGAGGGTGACCATCTCTTTTCCTTTCTTGTGTCCCTTTACTATTCCCCATCTTTCAGCCAGGTATGATGGTGCACATTTAATCTTAGTATTTGGGAGGCAGAGGCAGATGCAGGCAGATCTCTCTGAGTTTGAGACAAGCCTCGTCGACACAGCGAGTTCCAGGCTACCTGAGGCTACAGGGAGACTTTGTTTCAATAAAACAAAAAGCAACAACAAAAATTCCCTATCTTTCTATCTTGCCTCAGTTTTACCTAGGCTGGTAAGTTTTAATAACTTGGAGCCAAAGGGAGGCAGACAAAGAAGAAAGATTCTGGAAATGATGGCAGAAGAGGAGGTAGATGGGGCAGGAAACCTGAAGACTGTCCTAAGTGTTGGGGGCCAGAGCTGGAAAGGAAGGTAGGAAGGACGTGGAGGCCCTGTGGGCAGGTATTGAGATGCCAGCTGTGTTCCAGGAGGTGGGAAGAAAGCAGGGTAAGAGATCACTGCAGTGTGAGATAAGGAAGTGATGAGTGGGAAAAACTAGGTCAATCCCAAATACTTAGCCCTAGATTGGTGGGGACTCCTCCAGAGAAAAGGAAGAGCCTATAGGCCATTTGCTTCACTCTGTTACTGGGCTCCAGGGGGTCCAGGGGTGGATTTGGCTACCAGCCAGTGTTTCCCAGAGCCAAAGCTGATGGCAGCAGATGTGAAGACTCCCCAGCACAGCAATACACAGCTGGAGGCAGGATGAGGGGGTGTGGGCTGCGGGGGTGGGGGGGTGGAGGCTTTGAAACTTCCCGAGAAACAACACTAGTGTCTGCTGCTCTGACTCTAAGCAAGGTGATGAAGGAGCAATCCCAAGTGGAAACTTCAGGTCAAGAACCCTCAGAAATCCTGACTTCGGGGCTCACACAATCCCTGCAGACTTAAAATACCCTCTTCCTCTGAAGGTTTTGTAGTACATACAGCTGCCTTCAGTGTTTGCAGGGGACTGGTAGCCTTGGATACCAATGCCCATGAGTGGTCTCACTGCTGATGTGAAATGGTATAGCCTTTGCATATAAACTGTGGTTTGCTACATGACTTCCCAGGAACTCGACAGGGGGTAAAATTATGGGTTGTAGCTACCACAGAGCACCATGGGAGAATGTGATGAGAACTGGGTCAGGCACTCCATTTTTCCACCTGTGATTTCTCTCCTGTCTCTTCACTAGAAATAGCCAAAGAAGCCCAGCCCTGAATGTCAGGACCACCTCTGCCTATAGAGACAGCTTCCAGAATGGGAGCCTGAGTCACTCCTCCAGTAGAGAGTCCAGCAGTGTGCAATGGCCCAAGAGGGGCACGCCCCTGTCCCATGTCCGATTTGAAGATGAGTCTGCCCGAGAGGCTGAGTTCCGGTACCTGGAACGGCTGCAGCAGCGCCAGGTGCTGAGCACAGTGCTACAGGCTGTGGGCCAAGGTCCACTGCGCTCCAAGCCAGACCTCACCAACTACATTAACCACGACACAGGGGACAGCACATTCCACATGCCCTTGAATGGCCTGGACTGCAATAGCTTCCTTGTACCACCTCCAGCATGGGACAGCCAGAGGAAGTGTCATGCCTGTGGCAGCCATCCTGAGGAGTGTTGCCCTACTGAGGGGAAGGCAGTCCCTGACCTGAGGGTCCTCCAGGGTCTCCAGGCTACCTGTGGAGCAAAAGCAGTACTGCTGAAGCCTAGTGATTCCCATGGCCTGAGTTCCCCATTTCTGCCCCTCCCTGCGGAACCAGGGCTCCATACAGAATGGAACCGGGAAATACACATCAGAGACACTACTTCCACTTTCCCTGAAAAGGGTGATTCTGTCCTAGACAGCACCTATATCTCAGACAGCTGCGGGACAGACGGTGAGGAAGCCAGGACCTCTCAGCCTAGTAGGGCAGGGCAGCAGGGTTCCAGGCTTCAGAGAGGCCATAGGTGGTCCAGGAAGGCTTCAATGGAACTGCCCCAGGACCTTCAGGCCTGGCCTCTTCTGCCTGGGGTTGATGGCGTGGTTGTGGAGGTGAAAGGAGCCAGAGGACACATGCCCCAGGGGACTTGGTGTCTGAGGGATGATGCTGTCCCCAAGCCTTCTGCCTTGGAACCAGAGACGCCTTCCCTGGGGTCCCACAGGCAGTCTGGATCAGGGTTAGGAAGTCACTGCACCTACCCTGAGAACTGCTGGGCTCCATGCAGTACAGTTTATGCCATGTCTTCCATGAAGCTTGGGTCCTCAGGATCAGGCCGAGAACAAGTTACAGAAAACCATGAGTCTCTGGAAATCCTCTGCACTCCTTCTCTCCAACAGAGCTATGCACAGCCCTCTGTACCCCACCCAGCCCTGCCGCCAACCTCATTCCTCTCCCCTGAAGACTGGATACCAACCCCTCCCTCTTCAAGGAAATCCCCCTGCCCTAAGCCTCTGAGGAAGTCAGCCCCAACAGGACACCGCAGACAAGAGCATCAGATGGAGCCTATGGGTGTCCCCCTGCCTCTGTCGCCTCCAAGAACTGTGGGTCTCACTTCATCCCAGACCCAGCTCTGCCGCCCCCAAGTCAAGCATCCACTGCTGGACCTGTCCAACAACTGCAACAACGGCATTCCTCTGGAGCTGCAGGAGTCCTGGGGAGTAGCTGTACAAAAGGATAGGGTGGAGAAGAACCTCTGTTGCCAGGAGCCTGGGCCAGCCCTAGAGAGCACCGGAGATGGTAAGGATTGCTGTTGGTCCATGTTTGTCTCAGGCCAGGTCTGTAACATGACATTCCATTCTCACTTGCCTTTCATCTTAATCATCTTGTGATAAAGCCAATCACCTCTCCCAAGCAGCCTCTTGGATACCTCAGAGTGGGCCCTGCCCCCAATCATCTGAGAGCTGCCTGTGGCTCCTACCGCTCTCCAGTTTCCTTTCTCTCTCCTACCCCTAAGACTGGGAATGTGTCTTTCCTCACTGTGACTGTGGGGAAGGTCAGTGTCACAGTAGGGATGCTGTGATTATTGCAGGAACAGTCCAGGATTCTCTCGGTTCATCAGATGTTGCCACTGTCAATTCCACAGCCATCACCCTCTCCCTCACCATGGAGGAGCCTGAGTCCTGCCAAGAGCTGGCCAGAGGCCTACAGAGGATAGAGTCCAGCTCTGGAGGCCACATGCCCACTGGGTGAGTGGCAAGACCAATCCCTGACTCTGTGTGTATGTTTTCATGTGGGTATGTGCATGTGTGCAGAAGTTGATATTTGTCTTCCTCAATTACGCTCTACCTTTGAGAGAGGGTTCTCTCACTGAACCTGGCTAGCCAGTGAGCTCCAGGGAGCCACTTGTCTCCCAGGAGCCAGGGTTACAGACATGTACCACCACACCTGGCTTTTCCATGGGTGCTGGGGATCTGAACACAGGTCTTCATGCGTGTGTGGCAGGCACTTACTAATTCCAGCCCCTTCCTTTCCCAGTTCTTTTAATCTGATGGACCTGGTTGATTCACTGAGTAGCCCTCAAACATCTTCAAGCCCCAGTTGCTAATGATACAGCTTACAGTCCCCTCCCCCAAGGTGCTCCCAGGGTACAAACTGTTCCCCTTCTCTGCTTTGGCTGGGGGTGGGCATCTGAGGCCTTGCCCTGGGGGACCTCCTTGGGTTGAGTTCAAAGCCTTGGTGAGACTAGTATTTGGAAGAACCTTCTCTTCCCTGCCCCAAAGTGTACCCTGTGACTATGTGCAGCCCACAGCCTCCCTACTATGCAGCTATCCCTGGGTGCTTGTCAGAATGTCAGGTCTGTCTAACCAGTTTCTCCTGGGTATCTCCCCCAGAAGTTTGGTTATCTCCTCAACAAAAACTCAACAGCTGATTTTCTCATGTCCCCTTCCCAACAGCCGTCCTGCTGTCCACACATTGCTAGACCCTGTATCTGTCCCCTACCACTCCTTCCTACTTCTGTCCACTGGCAACCCTCTCTAGCACCCTAGTCCCCTTTCTACCATCTGGTCTAAGCTGCCTCACTTCTCAGCTATACAAGGGTATCTTTTTGAAAAACTCCAATTAAATGGTTTCACTGTCCTACCTAAAACCCCACAGTAGTTCCTCCTCTCCCTCTCTTGCCGTGGCTGACAGCACTCATGTGCTGGGCCTTGCTTGCCTGCCCAGCCTCATCTCGCACCTCTTCTGGCTCTTTTCACTACCTGGCTGCGGTTCATGAATACTCTGGACTTGCCTCTGCACTGGTGGAGGCCCTGGCCCTCACCTCCAGGCTTGGTGTCCTGGCTCCCTGTTTGCCATTTGGCTCTTGGTGTAAAGATTGTCTTCTCCAAGAGAAACCTTCCCTGGACACTCTTTTTAATAATGCCTGGTCACTCTTTCCTTCACTCCACACCCCAACCATCTCCAGCCACCTCATGTCCACTCTTGTGTTTCAGAGCATCACCTGGGGTCAGTGCAGGGCCCAGGCCACCTCCAGCTGCCCCTTCTGATGGGAACAAGAAAAGGAGCAATAGCATTGCCTCCACCCTGGGGCTGAAAAAGCTCTTTTCAGCCCTGGGCCACACATCCCGGCCCAAACTCAGAAAGTTCCGCAGCTACAGTGTGGAACAGCTGCAGCCTGTGGCACCAGCCTCACACACCAGCACCCCTAAAGTGAAGAAAGCCCCATCATTACAGACCTTGCATCTGGTGAGTCCCCCAGGGCCCTGGCCAATAAATAGGGTGTGGCCAGAAGTGGTGCAGTCCTTTGGACTGAAAGGTAGAGGGAGAACAGTACTGAGGGTGCTTGTCAAGGAGCCCAAGTTAGGGACAGGGGAGCTGCTGCTGGCTCTCAAGATTTGGGTTCCTTGGACACAGGGTTGATGGGTAGTGTCCCCTCAATTCTGTTCTACCCAGCCAACCCAGGCTCCTCTCTCCCTCTTCCTCAATTTTGTCACCCTTGTTACCTGGAGAGTTCATGGTCTGATCATTCTGGAACCTTCTGCACAGCCACAATGACACTTTTAGTCCAATTACCATTCATTTGAATCTGGATTGTCATAGTGACCCTCTACTGGCCTCCTTATTTTGGTCTTTCTGTGAGTGGCTTCCATTGTGGTATTTCAGAGAACACAAAAACCTGGCCATAATAACCATCTTGTCGGGTATCCATCCTCGGTCACTTCACACTCAGGATAAAGTTGAGACCACTCAGCATTGTCCTTGGTCACTTGTCACACTCCAGATAAAGTTGTGGGAGGGAAGCTTCCATGTTCTGCCTGCTTTTATCTCTCCTCACTCTCTCTTGACCCTGCTGGCTAGGCCCCCTTGCACTTTCGCAATCCGATCACACAGCCTGACCCAATCTTCCAGTGTTTCTCCACGGTCTCTACCTGCTGGTGTCTGCTCCTCCACCGGTTCTCCAGGCATGTCTCCTCCTGAAGTCACCCACAGTCTTCTGTAGGCTGAGGGGGCTTGCTGTGTGTTGCCCTCTCACCCTGGGCTTTTCTTATCCATGGAACTTGTCACTTTTGTCTCCCTCACTAGAGTGTGATGTTTATGCTCTCAAAGCCTAGTACAGTAGCTAATCTGGTATATTCAGTTCACATTTGAACGAATGCAAAGAGTTAGTGAAACATCTCCTTTCCCACGTGCTACTGTCTTAGCAAACCTACCTCAGCACACCAACCTCAACAAGCCTCTGGAAATCTGTTCTGTTCCAGTAGTTTATAGATAATACGTTTATTTGTCCCTTGAGTAAAAGAAGGTAGGTAACTCTGATCTAGGGCATTGGCGCCTTTCATTTTGGAGGCTGCAGGGAGAATGCAGGGAGAATGACAGTCTGTGAACTGCTTTCACCCCACACAGTACCTGGGAGGGGACGACCATGTGCAGTAAGTATTTGCTGCCTGGATGAGTAGAACATGGAGAAGAAGAAACCAAGAGTAAGCTGGGGAGGAGGGTAGCATGGTGACCTTGCATTGTGGCACTCCCCTGTCTCATGAAGTTAAGACTTGTCCTGTGTGGGACTGTGAGCCGTGGCACTTAGATTTATAACCATTGGCGCTTCTGTCTTCATAAACCCCTCAAGGGAATGACAGTACTGTTCCTGTCACAGAGGTTTTGGTGCAGTGTAAACTGAGTGACTGAAGGTAGAAAAGGTAGAGGATGTGCAGGGAGGGTGGTACGGTAGAAGACACTCTTGAGACTGGACAGACAACTTTCCAAAAAAGGAAAAGAAGAGTCATTCTCATTCAGAAATACACATGACACACCTCAGGGCAGGATGCTTCCTGTTGACCTTGAGCTTCCAGTGTGTGTGTTTGGTGAGGGGCTGATGCTTTGTTTGGTTTTCATTCAGCCCTGGGTGGGAGGCAGCTTGCCCTTGCCTACTTCACCAGTCCTCTCCTGAGCAGTGGCTTTCCCCCAGGCCTTGAGCCTGTATCCAGAGGTGTCCCTTCCTTCTTCCCTTCCTCTAGGGCCCCAAAAAACTACTGCGTGTCCTTCAGGTCTGGTTAAGCATGACCTTTCCCAGGAAGCCTTTGAGCTGAGATACAAGGTCAGGCAGGCCACTCTTGGGCTTCTGGGTAATAGACCTGCCTGCTGTCATTAGACTACTTTTATCCATTCAGGTTTCTGTAACAAACTACCAGAGAGCAGGTAGGTTATACATGCATTTCTCACTGTTCTAATGGCAGGGAGTCCAAAGTCAAGGCACCAGTACAGTCAGAGTCTGGTGAGGGCCAGCTTCCTTACATGCAGCTGTAATGTATAGCAGAGGCGATGAGCTCTCAGGGCCTCTTCCATAGGACCTGAGAGGCTCCACCTTCATGTCCTAATCACCTCACCAAGGGCCCACTCTCATGATTGTTAGGCATTAGCTTGTTAACTTGGAGGGGTCACAAATTTTCAAACCTTAGTGGATTCCAAGTGTAATGAATAATGTGCAATATTTGTTTAAAAATGTGCTTCTCCCTGCTTTGGTATCCACTACCCTCAGCCCCACCTTCAGAACTGTCTCCTCATTGGGGCCATTTTCTAAAGCTCAAATCAGACTTCATCTATTTTAATAATGCCTCTCAGTGGCTCCTTAGCAGAGCACTTAACAGTCCTTCAGGGTAGGCCTCTGGCTCTGGCCCATGTCTCATAACCTTCACAGCCTGGCCATTCATGCCGCACATATACCAGAATACACAGTGTCTTCTCTCATCTCCCCATGCCTTCTCACATGCTGATTTTCTTCTGCTTGGAGAGCTTTTGCTTTCAGCCTCACCTGGGTCCCCATCCTCAGACCTCCCTGTCCAGTGCCACTCTGCTTCCTACACTTCTCTCATGCTTTAATTTTTTTTAAATTTTATTTTGTGTGTATGAGTATTTTGCCTGCATGTATGTTAACTGCACCTGTGCATATAATGCCTGTGGAGGCCAGAAGAGGGCACCAGAGCCCCTGGACTGGAGTTATAGATTGTTGTTAGCCACCATGTGGCTGCTGGGAACCGACAGGAGGCATGTTATGCCAAACATGCTACCATTGATCCATACCTCCAGTCCTCTTTGTTTTGTGAACAAGGTCTCTTGTGTGACCCAGGCTGGGCTCAAGCTCATGATCCTCTAGCCTCCAAGTGCTGGATTTTCTTCATCAGTGAACAAGTGCTAGTATAATACTATGTTATTATTTCAGCTATTATTATTATTCAGTTATTTCAGGATGACCTGGAGTAAGCTCTGCTGACTGTGGCTCAGCATTTGGACATGTTGACCAAAGCTTGCGCCACTGTCTTCTCAGAGGGGCTTCTTCTTTGGGGCCCTGTCTTCTTTGGGGCCCTGGCTGCTTTTCTCACCTGCAATATTGGAACCTTCCCACCAGGTGTCACCCTCCCACCAGCATCGGAAAGCGGCCTCCTTTCAGAACCTCCACTCTCTCCTCAGTGGTAAGGGGGACCGGTCCAGTCTCTACCTGGTAGAGGGGTCAGGGGATCCCAATGCAGCTGGCAGGTAAGCATAGGCACAAATAATCTAAAGATTAAACTCTAGTGGCCAGTAGCACTAACTCTTTCCTGCCTCAGCACCATAGCCCCGAGTGAGTCCCTTTAAGAGGAAGTGAGGCAGTGTAGTGGAGTCTTGTGCTCAACAAATCCCAAATATGGAGAGACAGGTGGCACTGGTATCCCAGAAAGACACCTTAGTGTCAGGTGAGCACTGAACATGTGTAGGGTTCCCAGAGAGGCCGAGCTGGCAGGTTTGGTGTCTCTCTCCCTTGGCTGACTGGTGACATCCTGAAATCAGTTCAGAGTTTCCTTATCCCAGATAAAGATCCTGTTAGCCACCCACTACAGAAACCCCTAAGGTCCTTGACCCCTGACCCCTATGCCAAGGCCCTCTTGGCTGTATTTACTCAGGGCCCCATGTAAGGACTTTGGGGGGGGGGGTCTCTTAACTCCTAGAAATGTTATATAAAATTTCTAGCTTCCCTCAGTTTCTCAGAGGTCTGAAAATTTTAGAAATCACTGCCCTTGCTTCAGAGAGCTTTGCCCTGAGGTGTTGCCTGTGGGTGTGGGAACCTTCCAGTACTCTTTCTGCTGGTTGAGGCTAGAGAAACCCCAACTCTGGCACCAGACTTAAGTTTGAGAGCTGTGGATCATCTTAAGGCCAAGGAAGAGCCAGGCTCTGGTGCCTGACCCTCTGCCTTTACTGTCTCTGGTTCTCTTGCAGGCCAGCCAAGACCTCTTCCGGGCGTGCTCTCAGTGTGGAGGACGTGGGTGCCCCCAGCCTGGCTCGCACTGTGGGCCGTGTGGTGGAGGTGTTCCCCGATGGCACGAGCCAGCTGCAACTGCAGCGACCCCTGGAAGGCACTTTTGGTTTCTGTGTGGCCTATGGCAATGGCCGACGAGACTCAGGTATGCCCTCTCCATCCAGAGCAAAGCCCGGCAGTGCCTAGGGCTGTGGTCAGGTTTGTTGTGGGCCTTGACTGAGCAGTGGAGCTCAGTGGTGAGTGCAGAAAAGCCTTCGCTACAGGACCAGGGTTCTTTCCTTTGCTCTTCCTGGTCTCAGGTCCCAGGAGCTCCTACCTGAAGTGACTGGGCCCTGGGCAACTCTGGGAGGTACAGGCTGCTGCAGGGGCAGAGTAGGCAGGTTTGACTCCACTGTTCCCCTGCTGTCCAGTGACATTTCAAAACCAGAATCCTGAAGGCCACTTTGCCAAAGAGAGGCAGGGGGAAATTGTCTGTGCTTGTCTGTTCGGCTATTCCTTTGATGTGGTTGGTGTATTTCAATGGTTCCCTTCCTCCAGCTGCTGGTGTGTCTGGGCATGTGGAGTGGGCCTGCCTGTCTGCGTCCAGTCCTCAGCTTGCCCTCAATAACTCCTGGGGGTTTTGTTCACATGGATCCTGGCTCCAGGCACCTGTCTGGGTTGCCTGTTGTGTCCTGATTCGACACTGTCACTGTGCTCTGATCAGCTCTCGGTGTCTTCATATCCATGAGTCCTTCATGGCAACCTGACTTGCCCAGACCAAGACCTGTGATCCAGAGTGCACCTGAGAGCAAGACACATTGAAAGATATTCCCCAGATGTGATAAGTAGGGAAGACTGGGAGGTATGCTGGGGGAGGGAAGGCAGGCAGAAGAAGGGAGATACACAGATATGCTCCTGGGTCCTGCTCAGGAGGGGTTAACTTGCTCTTTTATCTCCTAGGCCAAAGTTGTTTAACCTGGGAAAAGCCCTCTTGCGGCCACATTTGCAGATATAGTTTGTCTTCTCCGACCTTCCCATCATTCATTGCTCAGCATCATTCTATAAATATACAGAGCACCTCCTAGTATTATAAACACTGTGACACTGGTTACAGCACTACATGGAGCAGACAGACCCGACCTCATGAGCATGCACTCCACAAAGATGCTAGGGCTAGCTCTACAAGTTCACCTCACATATTTTTATTAATGTGACATAAAAGAACTAAGAAAAAAATATAAATAAAGCAGGCATGGAAGATGACAATGGAGACAGGTTTTCTGAGATGACACTTGAGTAGACAGAATAGAGGTGCCGTGTGCATGCATGTGCGTGTGCGTGTGTGTATGGGTCTCCAGGTAGAGGGAATAGCCAATGCAAAGGCCCCAGGGGATAATTAATTTGGTTTAGGGAAGTCCTAGGGGTGGCTGGGAGCTGAGTGGCTGTGATGTCCTAAGGGACTTTGGTTTTCCGAGTAGCATGGGAGCCATCCCATGGGAGGATGTCTTAGAACAGAGAAGTAACGTCCTGCTGTGCTGCGAACACACAGTGGGAAGGACAAAGAACAGCTCTAAAGGTATTTCCATAGCCCAGGAGACAGATAACAGCAGTTTGGAACAGAGTGAGATGGTGAGGAGTGATGGGAGTCCTGCTGATTTGCAGTTAGTGTGGCCTGAACTTGCTGATGGAAGTAGTGTGAGAGTGATTGGGAAGGGTGTGGGTCTCCCCCAGTATGACCCTGGGGAGGGTCAGATGTCAGTGTGTACAGGGAGCTGACATTTGGGAACACAGACTGTTATTCAGGCCAGCACTGTACCCCTCACTGATTCTGCCCAGGTGGTGCCCAATTCCTGTTGCTGTATTTGGCCCCTGGATGTCACACAGGGATTTCATGTATAGTGTGGTGGGAGCTGGGGCTCCCTACTACAGGCCCTCCTAAGAGCCTCTTCCCTCCTGCCTCAGTGGAGCCATGGGCTGGGCTGGCTTCTTGCTAAACATCAGGATGCCAGCATGTATCCCATCTGATGCCACAGTCCACGAGAACAGAAGGTTCTGCTTTCTGCTTCTAACTGGCTACAATGCAGGCATCTCACTTCCTTAACAAAGGCTGTCCCCAGCAGACTAGAAATGCAGCAAGAGCTGTCTCCCTATCATCTTTTTGTCACGACTTTAGACTTTCGGCTAGGAAGCCTACCCACGTTTCCCCCAAATGGCTAGAGTGACGTCAGTGTCTGGTCCGGCTTGGCTGCATTCTTTTGGGTTTTGTCATTCCTCTCCACCTGCCTTTCCTGCAGACACTTCTGTGGGTTTATCCAGGCCCTTCTCCCTCTCCCCATGGGGCGAGTACATAGACCTGTCATGTAAGCTGTTCAAGCACCAGAGAAGTCAAAGATAGGGCAAGGCCCCAGTAGAAAAGCCTTGTGCTGTGAGGATGGTACATGCTTGGTCATTTAGAGACTAAGCCTCCATAGAAAGGTGGAGCTTGGCAAGCAGCACCAAAAGGAGATCCACACCTCAGAGAAGGGAGGGAGTATGTACACAGCTTGGATTGCCCAAAGAGTCACAAAACTTCAGGCCCTTGGTAAATGCATTGTAGACACCAAATTTGGAGAGTAGCTCAGAAAAGCCTGGCTTCTGTGGGGGCTAGCAGCTGTGCTGAAGGGGGCATCTTGGGGTTGGTGGGCTAGTTTAGCACTTCCCACCAAGGCATGAGGCTTCCAGCCAGAGATGGAATACTAGAGCAGACATCCTGCCCAGCCCTTGCTAAGCACCTGACTGTAGGAAAAGGTGGTAGAGGTGGTGCCCCGTGGGCAGCTGCTTTGTTTCCCAGCCAGCTGGTGAGGGTGTCAGGGCTGTGCTAAGCTGTCTCCAAATCTGGTAGTGTTGGCTGTAGGAAAGTCACCTATAAAGATAGTTCCCTTGCTGTCCTTCAGTAGGCTGGCTGTGTTCACTCAGCAGGGCATGGCAGTGGACTCTCGAGCTTTCTCCAGAGGAACCTTACTGGTGCCTCATTTTCTTTCAGGTGGGGGCGGCTGACATGGAACTTGAGAGGTGCCTAGCCCTTGGCTGGACACTCCTGTGCTGTGAGAGCAGAGCTGGAGGCCCACCTTGCCAGCCCAAGTCCCTACAGCCACTTCCACAACACGGGCTCCCTGTGAGCCAGTGCCTGCGAGGCTCTCTAGGCATCTTTTACAACCCAATGAATGACCACACTGACCAGGGCATCTTCAGGGGGGTAGGATGGTGGGATGTGAGGAAAAAGTAATGTGAGCCAAATATGTGAGTAAATTGCTATTTTTTCCTGGGCTTTGGCCCAGATCTCACCAAATCCCAGGTGAGGAATGGTATGGATAAGGCTGAGGCAGGGCCAGTTCTGGACAGTACCTTTAGGAAGGTTTAGTCTCAGCTACTTCTACTACACTGATGATATCTCACGCCTCACCGCAACTCTGGGTCACTTGAGCCGTCAACTAGATCTATTTATGTACAGTGCAGGGTGTACAACAGGCATTTGACTTTATTTTTTAAAATGAATTTCCTCTCTAAAAGCTTTTATCAGAAAAAGGTAGACTACAGATGAATACTTTCAAGCATAATTTGCATGGTCGTTGCCATTTTGAAAGGGGCCACAGAGAAATGAGGTTATGCATGGAGCAGACACACTGCATCTTTCTATATAGCCAGTTGTGAGAGGGGTGTGTGTGTGTGATCTGTGCCCTGCATGGTCTTTCATCTTTCTTCTCTTTTCCTTTGCAGGGCTCTATGTACAGGCCATGGCTGACCTGGACACTGCCAAGCTATACTCAGGGTTGCTCGGGGTGGGAGATGAGATCCTGGAGGTGAACGGGGCCAAGGTTGCCGGGCTAGGCTTGGCTCACATCAAGGAGCTCCTGGCCCACATGGAGAGTTTGTCAATCCGTGTCCTGAGGCAGAGACCTGTCCCTCAGTGACCCAGAATACTGCTTCCCTTACTGTCACTCCCTTGGAGGCCTTGATCCCCCTCCCTGAGGGCAGGGCAGGACTGGAAATACATTGCTGATAGACCACCTCTTAGGCAAGGAGCCTGTCTGCATATTTCCCTTAGGGACATTAATTTATGCATATCTTGGGGAAAGAAAATACTGGTCTTCTTCCATGATGGATGTGGTGGCAACATGGTGTGTCCCTTTTGGTGGGAGAGGAGAGCTATTGACTGGAACCTTGATGGTCCCTGAGAGTTGGTCTCACCTCCAGGGAGCTGAATAGGTTCTCCAGCCCTCAGCACTCTAGGGACAGAAGTGGCCACGGTGGCCTTGCGCCTTTCTCTTTCAGCTCAGACCTGCCTGACTTCCATGTGCCACCTTTGCTCCTTATCCAGAAAGAGGCACACTGTCCCAGCACAGCCTTCCAGCATAGTCCAAACCAAACACTGAAAAAGGGTGTCCCGTGGAGAGCTCTGTGCCCCTTCTGGGTATGCGAAAACCTGGGAGATGTTATCTGGCAACCAGAATATTAAGAATGTCTAGGAAATTTTTAAGATTCATACAAAGTTGAAAGGCAAAAATTAAACTCTTGCCAATTTCAGGAAGTGCGGCTGTGGCAGTGGGGGTGCGGCGGGGGGGGCACCCAGCCAGGACTCCTCTGCCTGCCCCTGCCTGGGGTTGCTGCAGCCTGGCCTGGGTGGGCCTCACTCTTTGTTCTCCAGTCCAGCTCCAGGCTGCAGCTGGTGTCTGGCCCTCCCCCAGCTGCATAGTTCCTGTCCAGACCTCCCTGGTGGCAGCTGTGGGTGGGCAGCCCGCAGCAGGGAGGCTGTGAGCTGGGAATGGCCATCCCACCTGGGAATATGCCATTCAGCTTGGACACTGCCCAGAGGTCTGGGACTCTGTAAATCCGTGGACACATGTCAGTCTTAAATTATTAAAATGCAAAGCTTAAGCTTCTTCCACGCTGCTACTAAATTCTGGGTTCACTTGCTCTTCACTAGCCCTCAGAGGGCAGGGCTGGGGATGGAGGGCACAGGTACTGGCAGAGGGCATCAGAGGGGAAGCTGGGGAGGCCTGCAGGATTAGGGTCACAGCCAGGGTAGATGTAGAAGGCTCCGCAGGCAGTCCTTATGTTTGGAGGGAATGGAGCTAAGTACTCTCAGCTGGGCTGGGTGCTGTGGAGGAGCAGAGTGAGCAGCTCATGCTATTTTGGAATTTGCCAGGGTACCAGCTGTGGTTAAAAAACAAAACCACTTTCATCCAGACTGGGCTGACATGAGTGTCAGGCAGTTTTCATCAGGTAAAGGAAGGACACTAAAGGAGGCCTGTGCCTGTGGGAAGGCAATGGTGTGGGGGAAGCCAGGGGGAGGTGGGAGTGCCCATTCTCTCCTTGGGCCTTCTCAGCTGGATTCACTTTAAACCGTGTTGCCCCTGCCCCAGAGGTTGAGAGGGAGAGGCTTATAGAACCTCAAGAGCACAGGACGGGGAGGGCTAGGGCCACCCCAGTCTGGAGGGCAAGGAAGGAGGAAGCTCTAGCAGGTGGCCTGAGGAACCAGAGTAAGAAGTACATAAGGCTTCCGGGTGTTAAGAGGGTTCTAGGGCACCCCAGAGATCAATGTGTACCCCCGGGGGGGGGTAGAAACAGTACCCCCTAGTATGAAACTACAATCATGGGGAAGCTTGCACCTCCTGCTCACCAACTCCTAGCTTGGAGACCATATAGCGAGCAATTTCAGCTTGAAAAAACTTCAGTAGCAAACATAGCCTCTATTTTCTATGGCAAGGTCACTTGCTTTTCAGAAAAATGCAGGGGTTGGGGGTGTGGGAGAGGAAGGGGGAAAGGACTCAGGAGTAGGAGTTTCTGCAGCGCTGGTCTTCCAGATGCTAGCTAGCACAGGCCCTTTATGGAGCTTAATCTTTAAAACTGTCCTGCCAAATATATCCTGTTCCTTATCATTTCAAAGGTGAAAAACCAAGTGAGGTACCAGTATGGATATCAGGCATTCCAGCCCTGTCTGTCTAATGTGGGATCTACTTCTGCACAGCAAACTTCTTCCCTGGTACCAGAAAAGGATAGAATTAGGATATAATAGGGAGAAGGGCATGCAGGGCAGTAGAGGCTCCCGTCTCTGGCTTGGGATCTGAGGCACCAACTGTGCCCCTGGAAAGTGATGCTGAGGGCCTTGACCTGGGAGGGGGCTCTGCTTCCTCAGGGATCTTGTCTGATCTCTTCCACCTGGGAATCTTGTCTGTCATCTCTTCCTCCTGGGGAGCTGCTGACCTCAAAGGCCCGATTCAGCCCTTCCTCACATACTACACCATCAGAACCTTATAGAACTTGTTTATTACCATTGAGCCAGGCCTATTGCAGGCCAGAGGGCAGGGAAAAATGAGAAAGAGTTCATTGACAGATGGTGGGGGGGGGGGCAAGAGCACCATACCACCTGGGCTGTGCAGTAGAGAACCTGGCACTATGCACAGCCTGCTGCAGATCAGGGAAACATGGTGTAATATTTAAGGGAAAAAGGTGTGCCCAAGTGGGGTTTAAGTGAACCGGAACCTAGGAGCAAGACAACGGACACTCGGGCATGGAAAATACACAGCGTGTACAAAGGTGTGGGTTTTGTCTGCATAACCTGTGCCCCTTCAGCAGCTCACAGCAAGCACCTCACATTGGGACCATGGAACAGAATTAGGTACTAACTCTGGCCTCAGACACTTCAGTCTCCCAAGGGACTGCAGGGCAGGGATGGGGGTGGACCTACGGTGGATTTCAGAAGGCACCAGCGGAAATGCAGTTGAACTGCCAGGACGAGGACACTGGTTGACCTCCTGAAGTGTGCCTCAAACATTACGCAGGAGCTGGAAGGGGCTATCAGCACTTAAGTTCCCATTGGCACTAGCACAGAGGTCTGTTGTGGGTCCTGTGCCAGACAGGTAACTTGCAGCTGTCTCTATGCCCTGCAGCCAGCCGGGCAAAGGCAACTTTGCTGCAACTCAGGTGCAGCCCAAGAGTCTCCTTGTGAATCAGGCAAGGACAGGGTGTCCTTGAGGGTCTGGGCGGGCTACAGGTCAGCTGCACCTTTGCAGCCACGGGCCACTGGGGAAGGCTCCCAGTGTACGTGCAGAGGTGCCATCTCAGGCTTCTCTGGCCTTCCAGCCTTGGTCCTCACACTACCAGGTGGGGACCACAGCACCAGGTGAGAGGGGTGCAGGATGGCTTGGGAAGCTACAGTTCTTGTGCACAGTGGCAGTGACCTGATGAAGATAGCTTTATTACCCTGAAAGAATGCACAGCTGGGGGCAAGGAAGAGGAGGATGAGCACAGCGAGAGCTGGTGCCTTGCTAACTCCCAAGCTTTTATGCAAGAAAGATGGGGTGCAGGCAGAGCTTGAATTTTGGAAAACAAAGTTAGGTAGGAATTCAGGGACATGCAATGATGCCCTGCTTTGCCTAGCACACAAGCTGTGGGGATCGGTGGCTGCTCACCTTCACTTTCACAGCGTCGGGGGGCTTCACTTTCCGTTTCCTTTGGGAAAGTAAGGTCCAACTCTCAACTTCCCACCTGCAGGGCTGGTGGTTTTCTCTGGCAGTGTTTCTTACATACCCATTGGCTTATCAGTCCTAAAAGTAATGTGAACTGATCCCAGTTAACATTGAAGTGGGGTGTGGAGGGGGTTGGGGAGCAAAGAGTACTTTGGCACAGGATAAGGGTAGGTCCTCTGACCCCCTCTGATTGAGCTTATGAAATCCAATCTCTGGGGAAGGACATCCTTATTTCTAGAGTCAAGTCACTAGAAAGAGGCCAGACGTCCAGACGCAGTTGTGATGACAAGACTATGGACTTCCTGGTTCTTCACACTGGCTCAGTGCAGGGGGCTAACCAACATTCATTGGGCCCCAATTCCACACATTCATTTATCTTCATTCCCAGGTTTATCCATGGCCTTTTGCTGGAATGCCCTTCCACTCGTCCACAGTCCACCTACTCACCTAGCCAGGGCCTGGCAGCCTTTCCCACGATAAGAAGTGTCTGTCTAGGAAGCAAACCATGACACTGCATGCTGGCTTCCACTTCCTCTCCTTAGCTCTCACAAAATCTTGCAATCAAGGGCCCTTAATTTCTTGACTCTTCACCTGGAACTGCTTGTTCTCCAAACTTACCTGGCAATGATTGGACTGCCCTAGTCCACCTGCCCAACCCATCTCCCAACCCCCAGGCGAGTTCTGGAGCTATTCAAAAATGCCTGCCTTGACCAAATCCCTTCCCCTATCATCTCTCCCTACTAGCCTCTGAAGTTTCCTGCTATGGAAGCCAGAGTGCCTGCTTAGAAATGGCAACAGCCTTCCTTGGCAAGCTCTGCCCACCTCGCAGGCTGTGGGTTTGGCCAGGTCACTGTGCTGGGTCCTGAGGAAAAGAGCTTCTGGGACTGGCTCAGATACTATGCCCATGGAGCCAGGGCTTAACAGCTGCCCTGCCAGTCCTGGAGGGTGTCCTGGGCTGTCCCATCAATGCCTGGCCACTTGCCAATCCTGCCTTTGTCCTGTCCTTCTGGAGTCTGGGTTCAGGCCCCTATTACAGTGTGGGGCGGCCCTTGGAGCTCTGGCCAGATGCCAGGTACTAAGGTGAAACCTGCTCTGCCCTTGGGGGTGCTCACACCCTCAGGATAGAGTCAGCTTTAGCTGTAAGAAAAGGCAAATCAGCATACCAGGGGTGACAAGAGAAACCCCAATGCAGAAGACCCACTCTACCTGGGGATCACAAAGACTTCTCAGGAGGAAAAAGCATGGTTTCCCAAGTTCACCAGCTTCCATCCAGCTCTGGAGTGAAACTGGGAACAAGGAACATGGGCATGGCAGGAGCTTTCGACTGCCATGGTTTTGTTGTCACCCTGGCACTTAAATCTCAGGTTTTTTGAGGTTACTATAGAGTCTGCCTCACTGTTTTTATTATTTCTGGCTAAATAAAACTCCAAATACCAGTGAGATTGACCTGCTTCAGATCCTGAAGCACAACTGCTATTATTTTTGAGATAGGGTCTCACTGTGTAGCCCAGGCTGGCCTTGAATTCAGCACAATCCCATGATCTCAGCCTCCTGAGTGTCTGGGATTACACACACTCCTGAGTACCTGGGATTACATACACACCTGTGCCAGCATGTCCAGGCTTAGAGAAGATTTCTTGACCTAACAGTAGACTTAATTAAAGGTTTTGAGACATGGTTAAGACCAAGGCAACTAGTACCCGTGCTTTATGCTTTACCCTGAGCACTCAAGAGTTCAGTTTAGTGTTTTGGGAGCTGTGGTGGTAGTTCAATCAGTAAAGTGCTTGCCATGTAAGCATGAGGACTTGTGTTTGATTCTCAGCACCCACATTTTTTTTTAAATTATTTTTATTTTATGTGTATGAATGTATTACCTGCATGTATGTAAGTGTACCCATGCCATGCAATGCCCATAGAGGTCAGAAGAGGGTGTCAGATTCCATTGAACTGGTGTTACAGGTGGTTGTGAGCCACCATGTGGGTGCTGGGAATTGAACCCAGGTCCTCTGTAAGAGCAGCCAGTGCTCTTAACTGCTGAGCTATGTCTTGAGCCTCAGCCCCCACATTTTAAAAAAGTTATTTGTAGTGGCAAATGCCTGGAGTCTCGGTGCTTAGAAGGTAGAAAGAGGAGGACCTCTGGAGTATGCTGGCCAGCCTAGCCTAATGGGAAAGCCCCAGACTCTAGTTGGGAGACCCTGTCTCAAAAAACAAAAGCAGAAAGCTCCTGAGGAATGACATCTAAGGCTGACATCTGGTCTCCAAAGACAAGCACACCCACACTCATGCACATAGACATAACACATACAGAGTTTAGTGTTCTGATCCACCACTAACTTGTACAGTAGTTGTGATGTCTTTTCCCTCCTCAGCTTTGTACTACTGTTTTTTAGGTTAAAGGGACAGCTTAGTGAAACACCTACTTGCCATCACTGAAATCAGAACGACATCTTTTCCCTAAGGGAAAAGCCTATGGTTCAGTCAGACCTGGATTCCAATTGTATCTTTGAATGACTGAACTTGGTCTCATGCATGCTAGGCAGGCACTCTACCACTGAACTATTTTTATATTTACTTGTGTGTGGAAGTCTGAGGACAACTTGAAAAGAGTGATGTCCTTTCCTTTTACCACCTGGGTTCTGGGATTTAACTCAGGCTATCAGGCTTGTTGGCAAGCACCCTTACCATTTTTTTTTTTTGGAGACAAGATCTCCATAAGTTGATCAGGCTGGCCTTGACCTTCAACCCTCCCACCTCAGCTTTTGTTAATAGCTGGAATTATAGGGCCTTTGACACTAAACTGGTGGTAGATTTCTAAAGCTTCCTGCCTCAGTCATCAAGCATTCTGTAATCCCAGCTACTTAGGAAGCTGAGGCAGAAGGACTGCTGTTGGGTTCAAGGCCAGCCTGTGCTACATAGGGAGAATCCTGTCACCACAGAGGGTCTCAACAGTGTTTCCCTCATGGACTGTGGGAACTGAATCAAACTGCTTTTGCTCCCTACCCTATCCTTAGAGCCTTGGTCAAAGACCTGCCTAACACATAAGAATTTTGTAAAATACTAGCTAGAAGTTAGCTATGAGGCATAAAACTTAAGGCACAAGGTCCTAGAAGAGCTGATGAGCTCTTCCCAAAAGCCGGCTCTTCAATAAGAACAACGGATTTAACTCCTTTTAAGTCTTTCTACTCCTCTACACTCTTTCCCAACACAAAGCCTGTTCTGTGAACTATTCTGAATTTGACAAAGTTGGGTTTTAAGAAATGCATGTAGCTTAAAGGGCCAGAGAAAGCATAATTACTAATTCTGCTTAAAGAGTCTCAGGTATCCTAGCTAGCCTTGAACTTGCTATGTAGCTGAAGGTGACCTTGAACTTCTGATCCTCCTGCTTCCACTTACTGTGTGGGCATAAACACATCTGGTTTTATGCAGTGCTGGGGACTCAACTCAGGGCTTTGCGCATGCTAAGCAAGCACTTCTACCAACTAAGCTACATCTTTAGCCTCCACAATTTGTAATTCTTCCAGCAACCATCAATTTCCCTTCCCCATTCAGTAATTTCTGTTCACATGTGGTTGGTGTCTCTCTCTGTGTGTGTGTGTGTGTGTGTGTGTGTGTGTGTGTGTGTGTGTGTGTGTGTGTTGTGCAACCAGGGGCCAGAGGACGTCAGTAGATGTCTTCTATCTCTCACTGAACTTGGAGCTTTCTGGTTTTTAAGCCCCAATGATCCTCTTGGTCCACTCCCAACCAGCACTGAGGTTACAGAAGTGAGCAACTACATCTGGCTTTTATGTGGGTACTAGGGAATCTGGACTCCTCAAGCCTATACAGTAACTGGTCTTACACACTGAATCATCTCCCCAGCCTCCATATTTTAGTATTAATCAGTGCAGTTGGGAAAGGTGAGTGACCTGTGTTTAGGTGTGAAAAAACTAAATACAAGAATAAGAGTGGGCTGGAATATAGTAGAGGGTTTGCCTAACATGGGTGATGATCTGAGCTCATCGCTCAGTACAAAACAAACAAAAACAGGTAATGAAAAAACACCCAGTACAAAGCACACAGTCTCTCCATCTCTCTTTAATACTGAACGGAATTCTTTTATACAGCTGCAACAGTTTTAAGAGCAAAAATAAGAAAACATTACCAATAGACTTCAGGGTGTAAAAACATCACCTTTAAGGACGGCTAGTTGAGTTTTTCTTTGTTTTACACAAGTTTTGTTTTTTTGTTTGTTTTTTTTTTTTTTTGGTCTTTTTGAGACAGGGTCTCCCTGTAGCCCCAGCTGTCCTAGAACACTATGTAGACCACCAGGCTGGCCTTGAACTCACAGAGATCCACCTGCCTCTGCCTCCCGAAGTGCTGGGATTAAAGGCGTGCACCACCACACCCGGCTACTAGTATGTTTTTAAAGTTTTCAAGTCTGTGATGTCATCAAATTTTTGGATTACAATCAAAGCTGTGGATGATACTTCATTTTGCAGGAATGTTTTCTGTACACTGAGGTCCACAATGATGCAGCAGTGGTTCATCAATCTTAGTATGAACTGACCCCGCCCCCAGTGTGGGGGTGCTCACCTCCAGACTTGCTAATTCTACAGAGAACAGACATCTCTAACAAGCTCTCAGGTGATGCTGCAGCCACCATATACAGTCTATGGTCAAGGGTGACAAAACCCTAGTTGAGGGCACTGGTTCCCTCTTACCACGCTATGGGGAAGCCCCATTTGGAGGCCACCCAGGTGTTCACAGGATCCTGACCCCGTGCCAGTCTAAACCTTCCTATTATGTAAAAGTAAAACCCAATAAAGCTATTTATTTGGAAAAATATATAAGGGTTTATTCCCTACTATTATTTTGCTGCTTATATATTCTATTTCTGATTTATACTAATTTCTGATTAAAATGAGCCAGGGAGGCTATTTCCACCTACAAAACCCAAATCCACCATCATTTGCAGTTTGGTGCCTTTGGCCCTTCCCTAAATGGCTCTCGTGCCTGCTTATTGAGGGCTGAGCCCAGCCTGGGCCAGGTAGGGAGAAGTCACAGGGAGCTGAAAGCACTTCCAGGGCTGGGGTTGACTCAGAGGTACCTCAATGCTGGCTATGTGCAAGGGAGGCCCTGGGTTCAATCCCAAGCCGTACCAAGAAAGCGGAAACAAAATCCCAAATAAACAAAACAATTCTAAAACCTTGCTAGTGGGATGGCTGACTGCCTTCTCCTCCCCACAGACACCAGGGTGCAGGCACTCTGTTTTCTGGGGGATGAAGACACCTGCTTCTGCGGGGACAGACTTCAGCTTCAGGGTCACACATGCTGTTCACAAGCAGGATTCCAGCTGTCTACTTTCTACTGAGCTGAAATAGACAGCCTGACCTTGGTCCTACCTCAGGGCCCACAAAAGCTCAGATGGAGCAGGGGGCTGGGCTGCCATCAAAGCAAGGAACAAGGCCCAGATATGTGGTCAGCAAACAATGAAGCTGGGTGGTCTGATTTCTAGTAGCTCCTGAGAAGTGGTCTCTTGGCTGATAATTCATGACCTCAAACACACACACAAACTGTAAATGTACTTTCTCATAAAGGTCTGGCTGAAGCTGGCAAACCAGGTCCATGAAACATTCATGTGAAACCCAAGCAGGGCACTCACTGCCTGAGCATAGCCAGAGGAAGGACATTTCTGCCTTGAGGTCACATCAGAAGGAAAATAGCACCAGCTGTTAGTTGACAGTACACGCGTATGTAGACACACACACACACACACACACACACACACACACACACACACAAGTTCTTCCTTTCTCACCCCTGTCCCGACAACAGGCTTAGCAGAGGCTATAACATAGGAAGAACCTTAAGAACACAGAGTCAGCGGCCATCTAACCTTCAGCTACAGTATCTATCCACATGGCAAAAAAAGGTGAAGCTATAATGGGGAGCTGAACACAACAGGTCAGCATCAGTCTAAGTTCTGTCACTAAGGCCAGCTTGCAGTGCCTCAACTTACCCAATGGCTAATGACTGCAGTATGGCTATACTGTGGCTTTTCATTTCCCACTGGCTCCCCCATCTCTCTCAGTCTACAGTTGATGGTAAGACAGAGACAGCTGCTTTGGAGCTTTACCCCTGTGCTGGGTCACCAAGTGCTGGGCTCAGTCTCGAGGCTCAGGGTAGTGCTGTTCAGCTCACAGGGATTGCTTTATTCCAAACTCTCCCTGCTTTTCCACAGCAGACAGCAGTTTCTCAGTGAGCCTTAGAGAGAAATGGGTGACAGTAGCATCCACATTTATATACAACAGACCAATGCTGCCCTCTTTTTTAATGAAAATTTACATTTATTAATTTATTTGTGTGTATCTGTGCCTGCACAATATGGCACACTTGTGATCAAAGTTCTCTCCTTCTACCCATGTTGGTTCTGGGGATCAAACTCAGGTTGTCAGGCTTGGCGGTAGGTGCCTTTACCTGCTGAGCCATCTGACCACCTTGCAACACTGCCCTCTTAAGAACATTTTCAGGGTAAGCATGTCTTTTAAGGGGTGAGAGCTGAACAAAGGTAGCTGGACATTGAAGGAAGACCACCTGCTCTTCCAGGCCAGCTGGGTGAGTTAACCTTCCCCTTCTGGCAGCAAAGGTCCTGAGAGAATCTGGTTGCTAGGTCTCTGGTGGCCTAGCAACTGCTCTTGTTGGGAGATCTTCTCTTTAGGGACTGTGGTCAGGAAGGGGCACAGTGACAGAAGGGCTGATAAATTTGGGAACTCTGGTTTTACCTTTTCTCGACTCTTGAAGGACAAAGAACATTCTTTAAAAACAAGCAACAAAAGCATTATTCCAAACAATTTGAGAGGAAGGCAACGCCAGTGGCAGGAACAGGGAAAAGGAGAGGCTGGCATCCCTATTCTGCAGCTTGCTTTCCACAAAGTCCATTTTTATTTTGTTTACAAATTCACTTTGTAGCACAAGGTGAGCCAAACAGGACAAAGCCCACAGAGGTGCAATTGCAACTCATTTCTCATTCAATTTTTTTCACCTTCAAATGCTATGAATGTCTCTTTGGTCTCACTTTTTGGGCAGGGAAATTAGAAAAAGAAAAATCTTGGCTCCACCACCTTTACTTACAGAAGGTAAAACACTTAGCAGACACAGATTTCTGTTGGAGTTAGACTAGATTTCTTTTCACAGCCCTTAATCTCACGAGGTGAGAAGGAGTGGAAGTTGCCAAGTTGTTGGCTACCAGACCCATCAGTCTGTTTAACTCTGGCTAAAAGCAGAGAATAATGGGCAAGTTACCAAGTTCCCCCTTCAGCTTTGGCATAAATTCTGAAATTGTGGAAGATTCTCATGTAATACACATGCGCGCGTACACACACACACACACACACACACACACACACACAAATTTCATTTGCCTCACTGTCCAAAGCATACGTAGCACTGTGGTTTTCCAGTCCAAACAAAGACCAGAAATTAGGGCTGAAAACTAAAGGTGTTTTGGTTCTCCTGTTGGAGTCACACTCTGGCAAATGCCCTCAATGGATGGTACCCCATCTCATACCCCCAACCAGTTAAGTAAAATGTTCTGCAATTAAACACAAACTGAGCTGTTTCTCTGTTATCCATCATATTCTGCCAGTTCTTTAAAAATGGTGAATGTAACACTCAGTGCAGAAAGCTGGGGGTTAGGGTGGGAACACAGCTTCAAGAGGCACTCCTAAGTAGTGTGGGGTGTCCCTGTTCCCCCTTTCCCTCTTCTAGGACACAGGGTGGAGGAACCTCTTTAGCTCCCTGGGTTACTAAGAAAGATTTGCCTCTTGTTCTCTCCCACAGTTTCCAAAGGAGCCTCCATCTATAGGGCTTCCAAGGCAGGGCCCAACAGGATGGGGCCTGGACTAAGTCAGTGGCCACAACAGTGTGATGGCCTGAAAGGTGAGCACTTGTATTTGAAGTTGACTTTCTACACATTCCCTACTCGTCTTCAGCCTGGTTCACATCTACAACCCTGTTCAGTAAACACCTTAAATGGTGAGGTCAACATGCTGATTCAAAATCAAGCCAACAAATTAAGTCAGAGTCACAAAACTTTGTCCTTGAACTAAAGGGAAATGTTACTCAGTGAGGACCAGGCCTGTTCTAAACAGGCCTGTCTGACAGAATCTTGTTAGAGCAGGACAAGAACATGGCTTCTAAATTGGGTAATTTTAATTCTTTGAATGCTAGCTGCTTTGTAATGTGGAGTGTGGATTACAGTACTTAGACAAGGCCCACATTGATTTTTAACAAAAGGCTTCTATACTTGAATGCAAATCTAAGGACTATCCCTGGTCTAAGTTTACAGAAGACTACTCAAAACCTTAAAATTTCATGAAACATAAATAACCTGGTAACATACATTGAAGCCCTTTGTAATTTTCACTTTTCCCTCTAACCTGAAAAGAAATAATTTCTATATCAAACATCAGAGCAGAGAGTAAACATGGATGTTGACCACCCTTTCAGTTTTACGAATTTGCTTTTAGCTTTCATCAACAGGTAGATTTCTTTACCTATCATGATCCTAAAGATAAAATATCCTTCTTTTTAAAAATTGTTACAAATATTTATTTAAAAGTGCAATTTAAAAGTTAGCTGGGCAAGCACATCATTGAAAATAACAAAAAAGAGGGACCCAAAAATCAAAACCCTAAGGAACATAAAGAAGATTTTTAAAAAGCTGGCGTGCTGGGGAGTGCACAGAAAGGCAAGGTGAGGGGAGTCACGGCTCACGCTATGCAGGTGCTGTTCTTTCCAAGCACAAAGACAAAGATGGGGGAGGCTGCAACTCCATGGCCTAGTGTTGGCTCTGGTACCCACAGTGGACTTTAATATCATGATATGCATTAGGGAAGTTATAAAAAAAGTCCTATATATAGGTGGACACTTGAGGCATCTAAAAAGTCACCAGAAGCTTGAAGTTTAGCATCTCAACAGTTCCAGCTACTTAAAGTCAACTAAAGCCTCTATCATTAAATTTGGACTGGCTCATAATTCAAATGGATGATGAAGTCAAGTTGCCATCTTAGTGAAGAAAAGCCTCAAGTTCTCCATCCTTGCTATTACACACAAGGTAAGGGAAGTCTGATCCAGACTTTGTGTGTCAGGACGGTTGCAGTGTAAATGTATTATAAATATACTGATTCCTGCCCATCTCCCCTCCCTCATTGCAGAGTGCAATCAGAATTTAAAAAAAATAATAAAGTAAAATAAAGGAGGAGGAGCCAGTAGCTCCAGCTGAGTGCTGCTACTGTGTTCAACACTGTATTTTAGGGGCACTCTAAAAATCTAAGTTTCACCTCTAGGGAGAAAGCCCTGGGACAGCGACACAAGGTCAGCAGGTCTGGTCCGACCCCTGGAGACATTACTAACCCTTTACTTGAACCAACTTGGGTCATGCTGTTTCTTCTCAATTGCTCCTGACCATTAAAGCTGCTGTCTACAGCAGCCCCAAGCCTCAGGCATTTCACTGTTTCCTGTTACTTATTCCTACCACAAAAAATGCACCTGGGAAAGCAATTTAATCTCAGTTTTTACCCCAGAAAAATGAAACACTGCATTTCTGTCACAAGTGTTCCGAGCCTCTGTTCTCATTAACAGCCAGCTCTCAGGAGAAAAGAACTGCAACAGCAAAGGGAAATGTACATACCCAAACACCCGCATTCTTGACAGGCCTCTTTTGAAAGGACAGTGGTGCCCGTCTAAGCAGGAAAAGGATTGAGCACAAGGAAAGAGCTGCCAAAGACGAGTGGAATGAGCGACAGATTGAGTGAGTCCATTAATTCTTCTGGATGACTCTGAGTTCCTCCTCAAGGAGCGAAGTCCAGCGAGGCAAAGAAAGTGGCTAGCTGTCCTCAGAAAAACGGGCATCAGGGGGCTTCTGTCATCCAGCCAGGAATGCGGTCACCTTTCCTCTTCCAAGCCTGCCCTTCCAGCGCTGGGATGGAGGGCTGTATCAACAGCGGAGTCACACAGAGGAAGGGTACGGCAGGGCAGAGGCATGCTTCCGGGAGAGGAATGTAAGTGGAGTGTGCTTGCTTCTCCTCTCCCCTGGGTCCACATGTAGAAGGGCCCGAGAAAGGCCACCATCACAGCACTAGAAAGAGGATCAGCACGACCAACAGGACTGCGAAGAGGATGGCTATGGCACACCACTGGCGCCGATCTGGAAAGCAGGACACAGAGATGACCCTCCTAGGATGAGGCACTCCCCTCCCAGATTCACAGTTACACAGACTTTAAGACCATGCCATTGAAGCAGAAGAGGGACAGAGCATGCAAACGGCAGGGGCAGAGATGATCCTGTCCACACTTAGGCACCAGGCACCCTATGCTGTTTTGCCTGGGGCTTGCTTTAAGCACATCTATAACTTTGCCATTGAGTACAGGTTTTGAGTGTCTATAACCTTTAACTGAAATCTGTGAATTTTAGCTTTCTCTGGTGTTCGGTGCACCCTTGGAAAAGTTGCTGGCATTGGTCTGACAGATCAAAGCCCCCCTACTTTAATCTCCTACCAAAGTCAAGGCATGTAATTCAACAATGCTCATGCTCTTTCCTCAACGAGCACTATGAGAAGGTGGGAGATAAAAGCCACTGCTGGTCACTTCAGGAAATGAACAGCCAAGAAAGCAGGCTCTAGTGACAGAGCACGATGGATTTCACATCACACCTAGTCAAGTAAGAAGGAAGATTTACTTAGTAACCTGCTGATGTGATTCATGCACTCATCTGGACATGAAAGCCAAACGTCTTTTCTGAAACCTTTAGTGATACCAATGATTTTGAGTAATTGGCACAGGATACAGAGTGGCTGGAGTCCTTCTGTATGAATGAGAGTAGAGAGGCCCTGTAGGACAGAAGGGCAGACAGGACCAGGGATGCCTGCCCAGTCCACAATCCTAGACAGACGTCCACAAGACAGAACTTCTAACGCTGCAACAGCTGCCTCACGGGGTTCTTGTGAGAGTCCCAAGCCTGGGACACTGAGGACCATCATCATTAGGACACTTCCTTAACTTGAAGAAATGTGGAACATGCAAGTGGCCTTTCTGTTCGCAAGTCCTGACATCTTGCACAAAGGGTCAGGAAGATACAAAGGAAGAAGCTAGGTATGCTGGGGTACACCTATAAACTCAGCACTCAGGAAGCTGAGGCAGAAGGACTGCCACAAGTTCCAGGCCAGCCAGGACTATATAGAGATCCTGTCAAAACAAAACAAAACAAAACAAAACAAAACAAAACAAAACACAGAGCTGGGAGATGGCTCACTGAAAAGTGTTTGCTGCACAAACATGAGGACCTGAGTTTGGATTCTCAGAACCCACATAAAAGTCAGGCACAGCAGCACAGCCCATTAACCCCAGTGCTAGAGGGTAGCAGAGACAGGTAGACAGATGGACCCTTGGGAGCTTGATGACCAGCCACTATAGCTAAAATGGAAACTCCAGGTTCAGTAAGGATCCTGTCTCAGAAAATAAAAATCAGGCCAGGTGTGGTGGCACATGCCTTTATTCCCAGCACTTATGAGGCAGAGGCAGGTGGATCTCTGTGAGATTGAGGTCATTCTGGTCTATATAGCTAGTCCCAGGCTAGCTGGGGCTACAGGGAGACCTGTCTCAAAAAATCCAAACAAGAAAAAACAAAAACAACAAAGAACTAAAAGTTAATAAAAAGTAAGGTGGAAAGTGATAAAGACACCAGAAGTTGACCTCTAACCTCCATATGCACACAAATGAGTGTATAACAGCAGAGAGCGAGAGCGAGAGCGAGAGAGAGAGAGAGAGAGAGAGAGAGAAAGAATATGCCACTAGCCTATGAAAATGCATTTGAACCAGTAGGAATAACAACTTCTTTTAAATAGAAGTATAAGACATAGTGGTTTGTTAGTGTTTACTGGAGAACCTACAAATTTTAGCACACCATACCTATTGTAAAATGGTCTGATATTTAGGAAAATAGACAGCAAAACTCTCCACAAATCAAAGATGCCATGGATATCAAAGTCTTAGAACTTTTTAAGGGCCAAAATAACTGCTACTGAATTCCAGTAAATACAGTAAATACCTTCTTAGTGGGATCAACCACTTGTCTACCTCAGACATGCCAGAAACTCATTTGGTAACTAAGATCCCCAGTCTGCGCACTCCTTGTTCTGAAGTATGACTACTCTGGAGGCTATGGAACACAGCAGGCCTATCATAGGAGTCCCTTTCAAGCTCTTTAACCATCACGTCAGTAATTAAGAAAGCTTTCAAATCTAGCACTCTCTTATTGCTTTAAATTATTGGACTCCTGGTTTCCACTTCAGCATGGAAAGAGATTATTAGTTACTTACTACTCTGTCCTAATATGAAAAGACTGAACACACTGAAAAAAAATCAACATATCTTCTTAGATCCACCAGAGGGGTAAGGCTACAGGGCCAGCCCCTAACAATGGAGAACGTAGATGAATACAGAGAATCACAAATTAGAGCAGAATCCCCCAATGCATTCCCCCCAACCCTCCAGCACCCAGCAGCAACATCCCCTAGAACTAGTATGGGGACAGGTAAACTGAACTGAAACTGACAAGCTATAGGGGTTCAGTATGGACAAGTCTAAAATATATAGTCAGTTAAAGGAGACAACCCCCCCAACACATTTTTGAGTTTTACTTCCAGAAGCTCAAGCAGATTGTCATAGTGAATGCAGGAGAAATGGTAACATTTTAAGGTGCTGGATATGCTAATTATTCTCACTTGATCACTACTCAATGTATACATGAATCAAAACACCACCATGCAACTCATAAATATGTACAAATAGTATGTGTTAATCCAAAAAATTAAATGAACAAAGAATTTTTAGGGCACTGAGACTATCCTGTATGACAGTATGATGATGCTGTCAAAACCCACAGAATGAACACGTACAGTGCTGTAGCAAATATACCACTGTGATGTCCAGGGTCAATAGGGGGTGAGTGGCTGGGATGGGGACAAAGTTGCTTGGGAAGTCTCTGTAACTTTCCCTTCAATTTTGCTCTGTACCTAAAACTGCTCTAAGAAATAAAGCTTATTAATTAAAAAAAAAAGTTTGCAATAATTTAAAACCACACTCAGTAAACAACTGATGCTTTTTCAGGGCAAACACAGAGAAGGCAACTGTTTCCTCCTTCTACTCCTTGGCCCTCCAGACATACTTCCAGCATGTGTTGCCCTACCCCCATTCCAGCACCCACCACTCTCAGGACCAGATTTTCAAAACTGACCCAGATTTCCACGTTTGGCCTTCCCACCAGCCTCTGCCAGCACAAATCCTGTACTTTTCTTCAGTCACTTTTTCTTCAGCAACTCCCTTCAGCAGGTTCTCATCAAGTGAAACCACAGGAGCTAGCATAGCCCAGGCATGCTCTTTTAAGGCCATTCTCCTTTGAAGTGGCAGGCTGCTTCTATGAGGTATGAACTAGACAACCCAGGGAGTATCTACCCTACCAGACTTCTCCCCAGCACCTCCTGTAAGGTTTCAAGCACAGAAGGAATGGGTACTGACCACAATGGCTTTTGTGATCTAAGTGTAAAGTTTTAATCCATTTTTGTGTGCTTGCTTGTGTGCTAAGCCTGTGCTCTACCAAGCTACACCTCCAGTCCAAAGCAAGCTTGAGAACTGCTTCAAACAGTGGAAGAGGAACAAAAGGAACTCCAATAGTCGGGATCAGAGAGTGTTGGAGGGGGAAGGAGTCCTCTATTTCATTCAATAAAGCATTTCTCTGCATAAGAGAAGAGCAAATTAGTCTCTCTTGGGTCATTTACAAAGTAGGTATACGGTCTTGGCTGATTTCTCCCATGAAGCAGCCAGCCAAGGGGAAGGCTTGGCTTTCAAGAACTGCTGATGTGTACTTGATCAAATTCTGGTGTTCTTCCTTTATGTAGAGGTTTAATAACAAAGTGGTGATACAGAAGTTATAGAAAAGAGACAATTACAAACTGCCTGGTCAACAAACAGAAGCAGACATCATAGCAGCATTTCTTTTGGTAGCAGGAAAGAGTAAAATGAAAAAAGTAACCTGTCAAAAATGAAGGGTGGTATATATTGTTAGAGCTTGGAGCTAAGGTCACAAACTAGCAGATGAACACTCACAAGTGTAGGTAGTGTGCTACACGAGTGGCAGGTTTTTGCTAACACTCCACTCTGGCCTGTGAGTGGAGTTTGATAGTAACCTTTGCTACAAGTGGGGGGTGGTGTGGGGGAGGCAGGCCCTTCATGCTGAACACTGTTACCTGGCTTTTTTTCATACAATATAACCAAGTTCTTACATTTGCTTTCTAAAATTTTGTTTTGGAAAAGCAGAATAAAACATAAGCAAGTCTCAGTGCTACAGATGCCCACAGAGGCACTTATCACAATGCCAGTACTTTCCTAAATTATTCATACCCAGAATGCTGGGAAACAAAAGACACAGGGCATCTTTGTTCACTCACTCTCCCCACCAGAACTGGTACTGAAGTAGCTACTTGACTGTACAGCTAATACATACACTAGTGAGAAGGCTGGTGTCTAAACCAGTTATATAATACTATATTAAAACAACCTTTTAAAAAGTACAGGGGTATTGGGGAGATGGTTCAGTGGGTAATGTTTGCCACCCAAGCACGAGGACCTGCGTTTGAATCCACATGTAAAAGTAAAAGCCAAGTGTGGTGGTATGTTCCTGTAAACCTTAAGCTATGGGCAAGTGGCTCACCTGTCAGCCAGTCTAGTCAAAATGGTGAGCTTTGGGTTCAATGAGTCACTTGGGTCTCAAAAAATACAGTAGACAGGCTGGTGAGATAGCTCAGTGTACAAAGGTACTTTCTGCTAAGCCTGACAATTTGAGTTCAATATCAGAACCTACATGGTAGAAGGAAGGAATCTACTCCTTCAAGATGTCCTCTGAATTACGCATGCATGCTCTCACACACAAATATCATAAATAAATAAATAAATAAATAAAAATAAATGCAAGAAAAATAAAGCGAAGAATATAGAAGAAGACATTGATACTGACCTCTGGCCTCCACATGTGTATGTACACATGCACCCCCCCCACACACACACCTTAAAAAAATAAATAAATAAAATACAGGGGTATGGGTAGGCAAGAACAGAGGAAGAAGAAAGAAGACTTTTCAGACCTTTCTCTAAGCATGTGAACAATGCACTAAGTTGTTGCTGCATCTGCACAGCTTTGGGCAGGACGAGCCTGCTTGAAGTGCAAAGATATTTGGCCTAGAGAGAAAGGAACTAACTCCAGATATGAACTTCCTTTTGTTTTGGATTTGATGGGTCCCTTGCCCCTTAGGGTCTTCATTGCTTTGTGATATTTTTAAACATTTACAGAGTACAAATACACTATCAAACACCTGTATATTATTTCCATGGAACATAGGGCCTCATCTATGCTAGGTCAAGTGCTTTACCACTGAGCTACACCCACAACCCTCAGTCTGTTCTTACAGTTATGAAACGAAGCCTCAGAAACCATTCTGCTACTTGGCTGGAAGTTAAACTCTTGAGTAGTACACAGGCATTTGCATTTCAGTCTTCAATGTTACAAACTGACAGTGGAAAACAGGAAAATGAAGTGTCAGAAAATGGGGAGCCTTTTAGTAGGGGGGCATCGGATGGTTTGGGAACTTTCAAATTACCTAAAGAAATATCTCAGTTCTTCCTTCCACCAAGCAAACCCTACCAGATAAAGAAGAGGTCTTTCTTTGACTCAAAAACATTATTTCCTGCATGGTAAGGGAGGTGGTTTATAGTAATAAAAAAAAAATAAAGTCACTGAAAACATCTTCATATACAGAAATCAGTCTGAAAATTTATCCCTTCACCCCCATCCTGGTACAAATTTGCTAGGACATTTCATTATGACTTAAATACAGCACTGTATTCTAGGAGGCTACCATATTCTGAAGTAGGCATTTTTCTATCAATGGACAGAAGACAGTTCAGAGGAAAAAGCAAGTGGAATGTTAGGTACTGCTTTAAATATGTTCCGGGGGCAAAGGTGCCTGCTGCCAAACCTGCTGACCTAAGTTTGATCCCTGAGACCCAAATGGTAGGAGAGAACTGTCAAATTGTGCTCTGATTTTCACAATATAGTATGGCAAGTGTACACACACACACACACACACACACACACACACACTGTCGCATGCAGAGACACACAAATATTAAAATACAAAATGAATTTTTTAAAAAATGCTCTATGGGGGCTGGAGAGATGTCTCAATGGTTAAGAGCACTGACTACTTTTGCAGAGGACCTGGGTTTGGTTCCCAGCACCCACATAGTAGTTAAAAACCATCTGTAACCCTAGTTCCAGGGAATCCGACAGCCTTTTCTGACCTCTACAGGCATTGCACGACACAGGTGCACTTACATACATGCAGACAATATACACATACACAAATTTTTTTAAAAAGTTCTCTAACATGGCAATGAAATGTCATTGCAGGAAAGTTTCTCCAACACAGTGTGACAGCCACCAAGCTAGGTCTATAAGCAGAAGCTATGCCTTTTCCACATTAACCTTCCATTTTCCAACTCTAAAGCAGCTCAAACAATTATGCACCAGGCGAAGGTCTGTGTGGACACACCTGTGAGGGAACATCACAGACAGAGCCCCAGAAGGAAGTAGAAATTCTCAGATAAACAGACATACCACTGGTCATGTGAGATACTTTTGCAAGCTTCTTCATCACATTGTCTAGTCGAGACTGAGTGCTTTCCAGCTCATGAGAGAAGTCATCGAGCATGCTGGGGAGAGGCGGGAGAAAGCAAGCAGTGAGCAGAGCCTTAGCAATGTACTGGCCTGGGTCATGTCAGCTCTAGGCCTCCGTCTCAATAAACACGAGAGGTGACAATGGGACTCAGGACTTTACTCTCTTACTCAAAATCCTTGGGACAACTTGGGATATTTTGAAATCCAGGAGCTTTTTAAAAAAGATAGGTCATGAATGTCACAGATTAGCAGGGTCTGGGGCAGTCCCCATAACCAAACATGCTTGAATTTTTGCAGAGAACCTACGAGGAGTTACAGTCAGTTTAGGTGATGCTCTTCTACAACATAAGCCTGCTACAAATTAAACATTTGGGCCTGAAGAGCTTTCTAGATTTCAGAATTGCAGGCGAGGCAGTGTACCTGACTCTTCAACACTACCAACTTAGATACAACGTCATCTGAAAGCCAGGCTTTGCCATTTGCTATCTTGGACAAGATACCTGACGACTCTTTGGGAATGTTTCCTCACGTGTTAAACAGGGTGATCCTACTAACCCAACTCTAGTCATGTTGTGAGCACCACATAATATACAAAAGCCGTATACATCAATGTGAGTTGGAATGTTCTTTAATCAGACATTCTCCTTTAGAGCATTTGGCTTTATCGTTGAAAGCCCAAGGCCTGATATCTCTGATGTGTGGTGTGTGCTCACACCCCATCTCTACAGACGAGCGTTCTCAAGGATCACTGGAGATCCAGTAGAGAAGGTCTCTGATGTTTGCTATGTAACATGCAGCTGGGAAAGAAACACAACACTGTACTCGAATTCTAGCACTGCTTATGTCATAAATTACCGAGTATTTCAGACTTCAACTTCTATTAGGACATGATTATTTTGAGGCTAGAATCAACAACACACCAGTTAGTACCAGGGCATTTCTACAAAGGTCTTTACTCACTTACTCACAGTGTCAGTGGCAAACTATTGGTCTGGGTATGAACCCACAAAAGATGCGTGACAGCTCCTTAGGATTTGGGGTCACTAACTCCTCATTAAGTCAACCGTCAAACTCCACATTGACAACTAGGTAAGTCTGTTCTATACCTGAGTTTTCAAACAAAAACATTTTTAACTCATCTTAGATCCTGACAGCATTATGGCCCTGCAGCTGGCAGGCCTCTCTAGGCCAAACATGGAAAACAAGGGCTACTTTTGTGTGCTGGGTGTGACTTTTCTTACTGAAAACAAAATGGGCTTTTCACTCAAACTTCAGCCACGTATAGTCACTAACCAGGCTTCTAGCCACCCCACTCGACCCAACACTGCCCAACAGAAAGAGTGTAAATCACATACTTTGCATTTTTGAGACAGGGTCTCTCATGTAGCCCAGGCTGCCCTCAAACTCACAAAGATGACCCTGAACTTCTGATCCTCCTGCCTTACTTCCTAAATGTTGGGATTACAGATGTGCAACACCATGCCTGGTTTATGCAGTGCTAGAGAATGAAGACGACAAGCACTTTACCAACTAGGCTACATCCCCAGTCCCTGAAATTAATTTTTTAACAATCTATTTTATTTAGTGTACTATATCCACAATATTATTTCAACATCTAACATAAAATTATTAATCACTATTTTTCCCTTTTGCTTCAGAATCCAGCATGTACTGTACTTTACTTTCGCTCAGCCAGGCCGCATTCCAGTTGCTGAAGAGCACATGTGGCTAGCGGCTATTCTATCAGGCAGCACAGGTCTAGGTTCAAGGTCCATGTTTTTTTTCTCTTATAATTTACCTTTTATTTTCCAGACATATAAACACCCAGCTTAAAAAGAAAAACTGTCCTACAAGACTTCTCTGGTATAGATGTGTCACAATTTGATTAGGTCAACATTCAACATTAATATTAAGGCACCTAAATAAGTACTGGTCACAGCTGAGGCAGTTTTGTGGTAGGAATCACATTGCTTCTGGCTGTATTCCACTGCTTGCTAAGGAGTTCGCTTTCTCTGGCCTGTTGAGGTCATAACCAGTCACCTGCCTTTCTAACATCTAGATTGGTGTAATGCTGTTTCTTATTCTATTTCTATGTTCTCCCTTAGGTTTTAGTCTTTACAAAAAATTGTTGTTATTATTATGGTGGGCTCCACAGGGAGTAGAGACATGACATGGACTGTGTTCAATTCAGCATCTTTACATGGATGTATCTCAGGCTCTGCATTCTCAAGCTGCCGCATCAACAAAGCAGCTTAAGCCCCTTCCCACTTCAACATATTTTAAAGTTAGAACCCACCTTAAAGAGAAATTTAACTTGTGTGTCTAGATTCTTGCTACTCCAGAATTCCACCTGGCTATACTCTACTACATCATCTGAATCCCTGCATCTGATCATGCATCACTCCTAACTCTACTTCCCTGCCTCCCACACACCAAGAATGGAAAGTCCTGCCTCCTCACCACACTGACAAGGCCTTTCATGCTGTCCACTGTGTTGCTATCAGGGCTTCTGCCCTCTCTCCTTCCCCATGCTAGAAACACTGGAATCCTTTCTGCCCTGTGCATCCCTGCACCTCTGAATCTCCCCAGGCACTTTCTCCCTACTGTACATGCTTGTTAGCTCCTCCACACACAGATACTGTCTCTCATTCAGCTACCTACCATCTATACATCCTGCAGGTTCAGTTAACCCTTTTTCTCAGGGAACCTAGGTCAAGTCAGCTGAACTGGCCTATCACAGCGACACAACTCTCCTTCCTTGCTGCAATCACAGAACCAACAGAATCACTTCCTTCATTTATACAGTATCTGCTCTTACCCCAAAGCAGCAAACTCTGAAATAACAGACAGGGTCTATTCTGTTCATGCCTCTATCTCCAAGGTCTCCCTAAGTCACCTGGTGCAGTGCCCAGTAAGAACTGATAATAAATGAATGCATACCAATGAGCATTAAGGGTCGGGCAGAGAGTTTCTGAAGTATCCTGGTGGATCATTTCCCCTTCTATGAGATGTCAAATGGTGGTATGCGGCAGTATTCAAGAATGCTGTTTTTGTTATAGTACTTTAGAGTATAAAAGAGAATGTTCTTAAACAAAATCAAATTTTAAGAGTTATATTTTCTTGGTTTGTTCTGAGGGAAGATTGTTTTCGTTCACTGAAATAAAGTTTATAAGGTTTTTCACAAGGCTGTAATTAATGTTCCATGTAGCAGGGGTCCTGATACAGTTAAGGTAGTCCTGACACCTTCATAGGTCTCCCCTCAGGCCTGTTTATCCTCTTCAGAGCAGAATCTCCCGAGGTCACAACCCTATCTGCTTCACATTCTCATTTGTAACTGGGCTTCAAGTATCTTTTCAGAGAAATGTGTGTATCTTCTAAAGGGTGTTTAAAAATATCAACTTTGTCTAAACCATGCTGTGATTTTATCTGGTAGTTTTGCTTCTTTTGGTGGGGCTACCCTGTACAACAAAATTAAAAATGCAGCTACAGATAAAAAGCTTTTTACTTTAGCAGTCATGTAACTCATTGCCAGTCCTATTAAGAGTTTTCATGGGATGGCTTTTCTCCCCAGTGTCACTTCAGACAGGGGCATCTCACTACTCACACTGCCTGCTCCTCCAGCTCCCCTCCGATGCGCTGGGACATGTTCTTCAGCACCCCGATGCTGCCAGAGACCAGCTCCAACTGCTCATCCTGCTGTTCCACGATCAACTGGTGCCAGAGAAACGGAAATAAGCAATTAAAATCCATCTTACCTGGTTCCAAGCCCAGCACTTGAGCAGCTGTTAGTTTCTTTGCCAGCTTGGGACAATTCACATTCAGAAGCAAAGCCCAGAAATCAAAGGACCAGACCGTTGCCTCTGAGAACACACTGCTCAAAAGACTGGATTGTCAAGATACTGATATCTCCGGCTGATCCAACTTGTGAACAGTCAGTGGGGCTTGAAACCACCAAGGGAGATTTACTCTGCTTGGCTGTGGTCCAATAAGGGAACAGACAAAAGCACACAGGCAGATGACCACTGCATCAGGGGGTGGGTGTGGAAAGGAAGCCCAGTGCCAAGATCAAGGTCTGTCTATAACACTGCCACAGCTTCAATGCAAGAGTCTGGCAATCTCTAGACATGGGAAAATTGCAAGGTCCTTTTCTCTTTCCTCAAGGACAAACTAAAGAATGCCCTATGACAATAAGCTACCTCAATGACAACTGTTGGCTGACAAAGAAATACTTTCAACTGTGCTGTGTTCTTGTTACTCTCTTAACTAAGATAGCTATACATTAGAAGCAACAATACAAGCTGATGGTGGTCCAGGACTATACTCTCAACAATCATGAAGCTGAGGTAGGCTAATCAAGAGTTCAAGGTCAGCCTGGACCACATAGCAAGACCCTGTCCAATAAAACAAAAAATAAAAATAAAGCAACCACACAAAGACAATTAAGTTCATTTTCTTTCTATACCTCAACCTCCATCAAAACAAATAATGGAACAAACCAATAACTTTTAATGGAAAAAATAAGAACTCAATGTTTCTGAAAGTAGTTTTGTTAAACAAAAATTTGAACATACAAATAAGAGGTTGGAGAAAAGAAAAGTATTTCTTTTTTCTGTCAAGTTTTTTTGTTTTTGTGTTTTGAACTCATTATGTAGACCAGGCTGGCCACCTGCTTCTCTTGTCTGCCAGTTTTGATGTCAGCTCTGCTTTTCCCAAGACCTTATCAAGCCTGGTCCTTTTGTACATTGTGCTCTAAAGGTTTTTATATACTTTATGTATACAATCATTACACATCTGGCACGGTGAAACATAGGACAAACTCTGATCTATCCTGCTTGTCATTAGGTAACAAGCCCACGGATGGCAGAAGAGCCCAGGGAGGCACCCTGCCTGCTACCTCCTGTCCTTGGCTGGCTGTTCTCAGGTACCTGCTGCTGTGCCTGCTGCTCCTCAATGAAATGGGAATTGGCTAACTGCAGCTCTCGATCGAGGCGCCCATATTGATCTGTTGTTCCACTGCTCCAGTTCTGACTGCTGCTGTCTCCTAGCAGCGCCTGTGTGAGCAAGGACAACCAAACAAAAACAGAATAAAACAAGAAAGATAGTCTTTAAAAGGGAAATATAGTGCTAAAAACAAGGAAAAGCAAGATAGGTGGTATTTTGAATAGTCTTATCATATTCCATCAAGTCTTTACTACTCCTAAGTAAAACAGATACCCACAGAATTTATTAAGACAATTGCTGTCAATAAAAATCATCTAACAGCTTAGAAACAGAGAACATTTCTATCTCATCAAAAGAATCTAAACCAAATCTGATTTTATTCTAGTTTAAGTTTTAGGTGATAGTTTTCTAAGTATTATTTAGGTGATAGTTTTCTAAGTATCACATTTTAACAATCAGAAACATTTTTAAGTATTACACTTTTTAAAGTACTATGTTTTAATAATTAGAAATGAGTTCCTTTTATATACAAAAGTGTGCCATTTCTTCAAATATTTTAAATAGTCAGGTATGGTGACCGGTACCTTTAATCCCAACTCAGGAGGCTGGGGCAGGAAGATTTCCAGTTCTAGGCCAACCTGGGTTACATAGACCAGCCACAGCTGTATATATTGCAAGATTTTCTGTCTTAAACAAAACAGACAGGCATGGTGGTGCATGCCTTTAGCACTTGGGAGGCAGAGGCAGGCAGACCTCTGTGAGATTGAGGTCAGCCTGGTCTACATAGTGAGTTCCAGGCCAGATGGGACTACAGGGAGACCCTGTCTCAAAAAGACCCAAAGAAAAAAACAAAAAACAAAAAAACAAAACCAAATAGTAACAATTTAAAATAAAGAGATTTGAGTTATGTTAAAGATTCTTCAAATGTCTACATAAAAAATATACTTTTTTTTTTTTGTGAAACAGGGTTTCACTATGTATCCCAGACTGGTCTTGAACTCATACTTTGCAGCCCAGATAGGCTTTGAACTTGTAGCAATTCTCCACTGGCTAAAAAATTCAATCATTACCATGTCACAATCCTCCTTCATTCTCAAGGAGCCTGGAGTGCCATAAAAACAGTAGGTAATTCCAGGCCTCCTAGACACCTGGCACAGCATGTGGTACGTGCTATAAGAAGGGTGTGCTGAAGGCCCTGTGGGAGTCCAGAGGTAAGGAGCTGGGCTAAGAGGGAAGGAATGGGTAACAGTGTTAGGGCAGGCTGCCTAGATTTGGTTAAGTGCCTGCCAAAGGCCACGTGGTAAAGGCTTAGCCCCTAGCCTGTGGCACTCCTGAGAGGTGGTGGATTCTTTAAGAAGTGGAACCTACTGAGAGTTCTGTGTCCTGCTGCCACAATGTACTGACTCACCACATGTCCAAGAGCATGAGGGTCAACCATTCATGAACTGAGACCTAAACTATAAGCCAAAATAAACCTTTCCTCTTTATAAGTTATCTCAGGAGTATGTTACAGTAAAGAGTAATGAAATAGAACTAAACAAGCTAGACTTTCACAATACCTTCCCTATCACTCTGGGGCCCATGTGCACATGGCTTATTCTTGATCATGTGATACAAGGATGGCCAGCAATTTTAAGTTCCAAATATCTAACCACATATTTTCTATAGTAGGTACTTACATTCTGACGTTTTCTCACCTGTCTGTTTTTCCTTTCTGCTAATGCCTGCACAGATGAAGTTGACATCTGATCCTTCATATCCTAAAGAGACATACAAAAGAGCAGAAAACAAATGAAAGTATCTTGAAAGAAAATCATGGGTAGTATTTTACACATTAGCAAAAAGCACAATTTATCATTTCACTCTATTTTTTAGGCAAAAAGACAGCAGTCTGTGGCTTTCATTTTCAATTTCAAACGTGAAGGAAATAGAAAAAAAAATCTTCCCTTAAAAACAAATAACCTGGATGGTAAATTTAACTAGACAGGGGAAGCAACTAACATTCAGAGCAACTTTGATCAGTCAGCACCTCCTGTGAATTTTCCTGATGATTGTGAGAAACTGGAGTAATCTCCACTTTCAAGTTGAGGGAGGTGAATCCAGAAGGAATGATATTTTTCTCAAAGTTACACAGCCAGTAAGTGACATCGCAGGGGAACTCAAAAGACTGTGTACTGGCTAGCATCCTCTCTAAAACACTGATTAAAAAAAACACATTCTTCTTAAGTGCAGTCATCATTAAACAGTGAGGAACACTTTCATACTCACTTCTTACTGGGTTGTAGTCATGCAAAGCACAGACTATTTCTAAAGCCACAGTGAATTTTTAAAACATTATCAAAGATAATTTTGTGTGGGAAGAAAAAAAAAATCAATGGATCTATTATTTAACCTTAAGCAAAATATCTTATTCAATATGAGCCATTTTAGTTCTAATAGTTAACCATAACTCAAAACACCATAAAATGATCTAAAATAAGTATGTTATAAATGCAATACAATTTTCTTTCTTCTTAAAAAAAAGGCTTTCAAGACACTTTGAAATTTTCTGTTGGCAAGTACACGTACTTTGATAGATGTAAATGTTAAAGTAGTCAATGTTTAGAAATTTCCTCTAAGACCCAGGACAAGTGAGTGCTAGACCAGATGGTGTCATGGCTTTAAAATTCCTACTGTGGTTAATTCTGAATAGCTACCTTGCCTCAACTTTCAAAGCACCTGCATTCATTCAGCAAATACTGATGTCTAATATATACTAATCATAACAGTAATGTTTTATGACATGGTTTAGACCCTTGCTCCCTTGAAGCTGATAAGGTGATTTATCTGACTCAGATACCCACGGAGCTACTGAAAATTGGTTCTCTAGGTCCCATCCCAACCTATGCCAGGCTCTTTACAGTATACTTTAATGAGTCTCTCTGGTGAGTCTTAAGAACCCCTGCTAATCAAATTTTAGAAAACTCAAAACAAAATGGTTATGACAGTATGTCCTAGACTGCAGGATTCCCTACTATCAACTGAATTAGTTTAAGATAACATTTATTCAACCCAGAAATCCCATTTATTTAACATACATTAAGAGGGCAATATCTACTACATGTGGTGGTGCGCACCTTTAATCCCAGCACTGGGGAGGCAGAGGCAGGAGGATCCCTATAAGACTGCAAAAAGACAGACAGACAAGATAAGAGAGAGCACAATATCTGACATGTTCACCAGGGAGAATAATACACACTTTTACCAATGCACTTTGTAATAGTCTTAAAAAACCATGACCATGCTACTTGTATAACAGAATTACTAACATGTATACAGAAAATGGAACTCCTTAGCCTTCAACACCATATACATAATTTGTATCTCCTATCCAAAGCTGGACAGGGAGGGGTAATGACTGAAACATACCTCCTCCTCCAGCAGGCTGCTGGTTAAACCCGGTCTTGCTTCATGCTTCTAGGTGCTGCTCAAATGGGCCATCCAGTTAAAAACCCATCAGGTTGTATGAGTAGGATATGGGACTTTTTCTGTATTGTTGTATGTCAATAACAAGGTTTTAGAAACTATTACTGCTCTCATACAATGGATGAACAATAGCAGGACCAACACTTTGAAAATGAATTTTGTCATTTTGTATCCAAAACCTCAAGAACCATTAACTCCACTAATAGCATTTTAAAGAAATAAACCAGAACATATGTGTAAAAGATATTCTGCAGTGCTATTTATAATATAAAAGTAGAAATAAGCAATATGCCCAAATAAAGGGAAAGAACTTATAGCAAATCCATACAGCACAGTATATGTATTAGACATTATGTTTATGAAGAGATTCCTAAAAACAGATAATACACACAAATGATCAAATGTGGACAGACACATTAACTCACTGAGAAAGTACAGCTAAGAGCTATTTCCCCCCATTAAGCCAGGAAAAAATGAAGAGGTTAATAACTTAACACTGGTGAAGATCTTACAAAATTATAAAGGTCAGGCATGGCGGCACACGCCTTTAACCCCAGCACTCAGGAGGCTGAGGCAGGGAGATCTCGGTGAGTTCAAAGTGAGCCTGTCTACACAGTAAGTTCCAGGCCAGCCAGGGCCATAAAGTGATACCTTGCCTTTCAAAACAAAACTAAACTAAACTAAAACAAACAAAAATATCCCCAAATTGTGATACTTTATTAGAAATAGTTTTTTGTACTATTTTGAAAATATTAACTAATATTTAAAATGTAGGTGCACCACCTGCATGCAGTGCCGGCAGAGAGCAGAAGTTGGATCCCTTGAAACTGGAGTTAAGGACAGATGTTAACCACCATGTGGGTGCTGGGAACCAAACCCAGGTTCTCTGGAAGAGCCAGTGCTCTTAACTCCTGAGCCATCTCTCTAACCTGATGAATGTGTTTTGTTTTGGTTTGGGTTTTTTGTTTTGTTTTGTTTTTTTTTTGTCTTTTTGAAGCAGGGTCTCCCTGTAGCTCCAGCTGTCCTGGAACTCACTATGTAGACCAGGCTGGCCTTGAACTCACAGAGATCCACCTGCCTCTGCCTCCAAGTGCTGGGACTACAGGCGTGCGCCACCACGCCCG